TGTACATTTCAAGATAAAGAATATCATGTAAACTAATTTGGGGTCTGGAAGACAAAGCTTTCTTATGAAATTGATCACTTATGTCAACATTTGGAATCGTTGCTACGACAAACATACCGTAAACGTAACAATATGTTATTACTAATCGTGTGTTACAACAACAACTCATTGTTACCGGATTAAAGGTAGACAATGCACATGTGAAGTTGATTCTTTACAGACATACCTAGCTTGTCTTGTTCTAAAACGATCAACTTAATTCCACGGTGATATAACTGACTCTACCTCCGTATATCGATTTAATGTTCATGTAAGTAATCTTATGTTTGGAGACTATTTCTATACGATGCTACTCATCTGCTCCCGTACTTAAAGCTTAAATTACTGGCGACTGAACAGAGGAAATGCGTGTATAATAATGGGTTAACATTTTCACATTTTCAAAACCACCTTAAAATCTTGATGGCGATTTCTAATCGTATTGGATGGTATTTGATAATTTCCGCTAAGCCATAATAATCATGATAAGGTTAATCACGAGAGTGAATAGGTGTGAATTTGATATAATCGTGAAACTCAATTGGTTTCAACTTTATTCTAAGAAATACTGTCACTTAAATTTCTAATATAGATATTCAATATAATTAAGCTAATTATAAAGAATGTGATTGTGTCCAGCAACCAGAACCTTATGTATTATTTGTGTAAATTATCACAAAAGTACAGAAAGATCAAGAACGTTCACAAAATTATTAGTACTGCAACATAGGCTCTCTATATAAGGTGCCAATTTTTGTTGAACACTTATCATATCTAATAATGCGCCAATATTTCATACGTGTTGAAGATAATACTAAATCCTGTGTCAAAAACGGCAGTGAGTCATCAGATTTTTTTTATTTGCAATGTCGGATTGAACGAAGGTGAGAATTTATCGCCATTTTTGTTTTCATTATACTTAAATGATCTAGAATGATTTTTTTATCGAAAATAATGTTAATCCTCTACAAGAATAGAAACAACATGCCTGAGACATATTGGTTTGTATCTGAAATTGTTCATTATATTGTATGCTGATGACACTGTGATGATGGCTAAGACAAAAACTAGTCTTCAAAATGCTTTAAATTGCTTTCAAAAATACTGTGAAACATGGAAACTGACTGTCAATACTCAAAAGACTAAAGTCGTCATATTTGAGAAAAGAAAAAGCAGAGGTACTTATTCATTTACTTATAATAATGAGCCCATAATGGTTGTAAACTCTTATTCATATCTTGGTGTACTGTTTAACTATAATGGTACGTTTGTAAAGGCTAGGACCCAATTGATAGAACAGGCTAGAAAGGCATTATATGGTCTATATAAGAAAATAAGAAATATTCCATTACCTGTTGATATCCAACTTAAACTATTTGATTCACTTGTGTCACCTATTCTATTATATGCATGTGAAATATGGGGATTCGAGAATGTAACTAGCGTTGAAAAAATACATCTACAATTTTGTAAAAGAATTCTTAAATTGAGAAGTAATACCCCAAATTATATGATATATGGGGAACTTGGTCGTTATCCACTAAAAATTGATATTAAGACTCGAATGGTGACTTTTTGGCATAGAATTATTACAGATCAGAATAAATTATCATTTATACTCTATAATTTAATGAACAAACTTCAGTCACAAGATCAAATCGATTTCAAATGGTTGAAGTCCATAAAGTCAATACTAGATAACGCTGGATATAGCAGTGTATATTCAGAAGTGGTACCATGACACTGATATTTCTTCACGTGGAGAATTTACTCAATTTTTAAAAGCAAATGGGAATTAGAGACTTATTTAATTAAACTAAACCCAGAGTATGGAAAAACATTTTGTAGATTTAGAACATCTAATTGTAAGTTACCAATCGAAACTGGTAGATGGACAGGTGTACCTCGCCAGGAAAGAATTTGTTTATTATGTAATTTAAATATTGGCGATGAGTATCATTACCTTTATCAATGTGAAAACGACTATATTAAAGAAATACGTCAAAAATACTTACCTAAATACTATTACCAACAACCAAGTGTTTTGAAAATGAAAGGAATGTTCACTATTTGTAATTCCTCTTTACTTCGGAAAGTAACAAAATTTATACAAAAACTAGAAAAAATACTTAGTAATTTCTGAATTAATTGTATGATCTATTATATGTAAGTATGTATGGGCATGTATGTACACGTATGTATGTATGTATGTATGTATGTATGTATGTATGTATGTATGTATGTATGTATGTATGTATGTATATATGTAGGTACGTATATATGTAGGTATATGCCTATGTATGTGCGTGTGTATGTATGTATGCACGCAGCATTACATGTATGCTGGTATGTATGTACATTTCACTATGTATAATGTATCTGATTATTTGCAGACAATATGTAACAATGTATCTGATTGTATCTGATGATTGATCTCCTGTTACACTGTTAATGTTGAAAATATTTTTGTCATACTATGTATATATTTTGACAAATTGTTAAAAGAAGGCGAATTGTGGTTCTCTCTAAAATGCAAACTTGAGATGGCTTTTAAATGAAATAAAGTTCTCACGTGAAATTGCCAAGGGCCGTTACGCAATCGTGATTTTATGAAGGAAGTGCGGATATAATGTGTATACGTCATCGTATGTAAACATAGATAAGTGTCTTGTTTTTAAAACCTCTTCAATGACGCAATATGTCGCATGAAACATGAAGAGGAACTATATAGCATGAAAGCACAAATAAGGCGTCACAAATCACAATAAAGGGTGAAGTTATTTTTCCAATATTACACAATTTTGAATTACATCGCAATGATTGCAGCTTTCTAAAAGAAATTCGATGATGTAGGAGTTTGTAGGATGGGTTAGCATTTATATTTTGATAAACTAAGATGATTAGGAGTGACATAGATTGTACAAAGATGCTTTGCCAACGTCAAAAGGCGAGGCCATGAACGCGATTTCACAATAATCATGAGCAAATTTTATAGTAAGAATGTACTATATATTAAAACCCACACGATGTCTTGTTTCCTCCGAGTCAGTACAACCAGAAGTTTATCACGTGTTCTCGGAACACTGATCACTACAATGACCATGCGCTTGCGCTATATCCACATATACTGACTTTAAAAGTAACAACGGACGTGGGGCGGATACATTTTGACCTGCATTTGACCTACCCACTACAATCACCGGAAGTGCGGCAACAACAATTTGGTCGATCTCACGTATGCCCACCTACATATGGTATCATATTGGTCTGAGGATGAAATCGTTTTATGGAAACAAAGACAAGCCACAAATAGCTACATTTAAAAGTGTTGCAAATTAGCATTCATTGTTTGAGGTGTGAAATGTCTGATTGTGGAACATTCCAAAAGAATTCCCCCAGTCGTTTAATATCGTCCATCATACCTTTACATTAAAATCTGTCAGAATGCAAATCTTTGTTATGAAAGGATGTCTTACATATTCTCTCAGATAGTTTGCAGAACATCCAAGACATCGTTTCATGAATTTTCACATGAAATGAAAACCCATGTAATGTCGTGATTCAGTCATTAGCCAATGTGACACACAGAATACGATATAAGAAATCAAAAATTCCAATTGTCATGCATTGCGTTATTACAAATATAACAAACATTATTCTCAATATTAGTCACTTAATATCATATCTCAAAGTATAACTCGTGTGAATTTGGAGTCGAAAGGTTGCGGTATTACTAGTATCCAAATATCAAGATAGTAGAATCTGAATGAATATTGGAACAATTTGAACAGAAGTTGAAATAGATTGAAATAACAGACAGGAAATTATCGGCTTGTCAACAAATTCTTAATCTTTGGATCTAAAAGTTTTCGGAATTACGAGAATAAGCATGACGTTTGCAATAAAAAGAAAGCTTATTTCAAGTGAATATAGACCGAATTTAAATACCTGATAATGCTGTTTGTAATATAAACAAAGAAGATATCAAATTGTCCACATAGTCTCATCCTAGACTCTAGGAAACCACAGTAACTTTATATCACACATGGAAAATGAATTATTCTACTCTGTGTTTTGAGGACACCTGTCAACTCTCGACAGCAAGGAAATCGTACTATTGTATTTTTCCCTTGTGTTTTGATGCTGCTTGATCTTTTGTCTTGTGTATTGACGCTACGTAATATTTTGTCCTTTTTGACATTGTTGGGTATTTTGTCTATATGTGTTAAAGTTTCTGACTTAATGTTTTGACACTGTGCCTTTTTACCTGGTGTATTGAAGTAATGCTATATCTTGTTTTTGTTTGTTCAACCTTTGATATATTCTTATTGTTTTGATACTGTGGGGTATTTTTTAACCTAGTTTATTGAAGTAATGCTATATCTTGTTTTTGTTTGTTCAACCTTTGATATATTCTTATTGTTTTGATATTGTGGGGTATTTTTTACCTGGTGTATTGAAGTAATGCTATATCTTGTTTTTGTTTGTTCAACCTTTGATATATTCTTATTGTTTTGATATTGTGGGGTATTTTTTAGCTGGTGTATTGATTTTTTCAAGCTATGTTATATTATTGGGATATTGATATTGTGGGGTATTTTGGCGTTGTGTTTTGACGCTACGATGTTTTCGCCTTGTCTGGTGTCAGTGTAAAGTAATTTGTCCTTGTGATTTGAAATTTACATATACTTTAGCTTTGCGTGTTAAAGACATGGTACATATTTTGGCTGTGTGTTTTGATGCAAAGATATATCTTATCCTGTTTTTTTTTTTTTTTTTTTTTTGCATTTCTTTATTGTAGTTAAGTTATTTACTTCCAAGATTGTTCTCATTCTCTTTTAACTACATTTACGTGAACTGACAAGTTGTTCTTTTATTCTTTTTACACCACTGGAATTCCATACATGTCTGTTATGCATAAACACGCTTCCGGCGGAAGCCGACGGGCATCTTTAAATACTCAACATTACTACATCATAAACAAACAGCCCAACAAGGCCGCCAACTAATATTGGACAGGTTGTAGGGGTAAGTCTTTAAACTTCTGTTTTAGAAGGTTCGTGTAAGACTGATTGGAGCACATTTACTAAAACCACTTTTATTTACGATTCCCCTTTATAACCATTTTTTATACTAGAATATATGTATATTTGAATACTAACATATACTTAACGTTATGTATATACTTTTCTTAGCTGGAGAGTACTCGTAGCACCAGTAACATGACATATACTTTAAAAAGTTATTGGTTATTGAAATGAATGAAATATTCGACCTTAGAAATCTGGGGAAGACAAGACGAATCTTCTAAGTGTTTGTTGTGTTAGGATTTCGTTTTGACCCTATATCAGTCCTCTTATCAACAATTGTAACTGATTTTAGGGGAACTGGGTTTTTATTACGTGTTACTAGATAGATATGCATTCAAAAATATTTTCTGACCAAGGAAAACAATGCGATGTTTTAAAGCATAGAATGCAGAGCAGTGCAATACTCCTTATTGTTGATTTTAAAGTAAGGGACAAATATATTAGGTTACAGACAAATATGTATGACTCTCGACTCATAACAATTATAACATCAAGTAATCTGATTTTGAATTAAGATTCTGTTGACATATTGGTAGTTTATCTTTTTAAGTGCCAATAGAGCGATACTATCTATCGTGTCATCAGTAATTAGTTAAAAACATCGGTGAAAAGTTGTTATACTCATCCAAATTGTGACAACTACAACCAACATTCTTGCTGATCGAAAAGGATGGGCAAAACAGTCAATCGTTTTAATGTTATATTTATACTTCAAACGAGTTGCTCATCACACGTCGTTACCTACAATATACGAACTATTTACAGAAAAAGGAGAGTCCGACCCTACCTGAACCATGGATGTCTGTAGGATGACTTTGTTACTGATGGTGGCCGTGACCTTAGTTGCGATGTCATTGGGCTGTTACTGTGGGCTGAGACACCCACAGCAAATCTTCTGCGAGTCCGATTTCGGTATGTTATCTAATCGTTTCTCTAAATGACTCTACCAAATATATATATGGGAAGGTTCCCTAGCCACAAAGTTCTATAAACTCCGCAAAAAGCACATGTGTATGAATTAAAACGTTGCATGCATGTAGGTTACGGCAAACTTTGAAGAAGAATAACGGTCCGCCAACAGTGTCTACCACGTGCAATCTAGGATATTGTTCAATATAATTAATAACAATTAATTACACACAATCGAAAATTCATGACTGTGTACATTGAATTTGCTTTTTAAAATTGATCGCTTTTGTCTATATAGAAGTTAGATATTTTATTTTCATCAGCTGCATTTCCTTAACAAAGTCGTTGTCTGAAGTCACTATAAATAAATCTTACATTTGGTTTCAAACATATAACCATTTATGTGTAATGGATTTTTGGAGTGTTCATAGAAGTACATGTATCATATATGTACCATGGTGACCACAAGTCAACACAAATGACTCACCGACAGCATATCGTGACGCATTTTTGAAGAGATCAAGAATGTGTTCAAGATAGTGAGGTTGTCCTCATATTGTTTTTAAATAATCTTGAATTCTTTTTCACTCATTCGAATAAAAATCCTGAAGGAATCTAGTAAGATATACTGTTTGTAGTTAACGTTACAGCATTAACAGCTGATGACGTCATACATCTGGTTCGTTTGCAATGCAAGTGCGTTACAACACCCATAAGTGTTAAGACCGATGTCACAGAAAAAATGTCACGTCAAGTAATGAATAGATAATGAGGACGACGACGACGATGATGATGTTATTGATTTCTGTTTAATGTCCGATATATCTATGCTATAAACAATGGATAGTGTTTGAGTAAAACACCAGTTCTTTGAGAACAGATAAAGAAATACTAAAGAATTTTATTAATCAATAAATAAAAATAGGATCTGAAAAGAGTTTTTATGAAATTTTGTAAAACGAGCCTAAGAGGACTAAATTTTTGCGAGTCTATGCAGAATGATTAAAATTGGAGGCGACTTACATAAAAAAATCATATGAACGGAAAACAACACTTTAAAAGATACTTGTTATCTCATAGCTTACATTTTTACCGAGGACCTTGAAAATGAGAAGGTCAAAATCAAACGGAGACAGCCATTTTAAAGCGCCGTTTTCAATTCATGACCAGGCGGCATTTTTCATACTATGATATCTTAATCGATTTCTAATTAACACATCCAATGAAAAAATCTCAAATGGCAATAGTGACATATACAAAACAAGATGTGTTTATGAAACACTATGCCCTTGATTGCAACAAAATTCGGAAGTGGAGCATGAATGCTGTACTATGTAAGGCATATGTTAATTGCATGCACATGAAGGCGCTACCTCTGATGGTGTAATAGTTATGGGCAATGTTAGAGATGACAATATGCAGCACGAAAACAGTATGCCCCCGATCTTTCGATACGGGGCATAAACGGTATCGAATAGGCGAAATCACTGGATAACAGCTGAATTATGTGATAAATGTGAATATGTCATAAACTACAATATTCTAAAATTCTATCTGATCAATTTACTACATTAACAGTGGTGAAAGTACACGTCATGGAAATGGAGGAAGTATATGACAACTCAATTCCTCGCCATTCGTTTCCGCTCCAGGTTGTGTACACCGTCGATATCGACAAGGTATACAAGGTAAGGTCAGCACGCACGTCACAGAGGTCACACATAATTAAGTATTACCAATTATGGGGATTTAGGGTGATGGATGTGAGGAAAGGGTGAAAGTTAGGTATTTAGATAGGTGATTAAGTATCCTACATAATACATCTCTCAAAATCTTCCGTCACATTTCGACTGGGGTTTACATGTGACCATTTAATCAATATTTTTGAACAACGCAAGAAGACGTTGTTTCCACAACAGTTCTGTGAAAATGAAAACAAATTTATTTCTAAATAAATACTAAATTCTAAATAAGTGTTCTTTGTTACCTTCGATTTTTTCCACAATATCACTAGTTATAGTTACCAAATGTTTAAGAATAATTGCATCCTCAAACAGAATTACCCAATACTTCTCGCCTCTGTTAGTTCAACTGTGGAATCGCAAATCTTAAACGTGACGTCATAACTTGTTTATGTCATAGATTTCACACTCGTACATTTGATGCAGCACACAGAACCCAACTGCTAACATCTAGAATGCATACATTTATAATAGATATGTAAATTATGATATTCATGTAACCAACATTTAATGTTAAACTTTACAGCAATCTGACAAGTTTAACAACGCCGACCACTTACATCTGCTTACCGGCGGTTCGGAAGGGACTTGCCGACAGGACCTTCAAGTCGGACACAGCTACGTTATAATGGGTAAATATCCATATATTGCTTTGTTGATATTTTCTTAAGATATATCAAAGATCTTAAAAAAAGACAGAAGTGAAAAAAAAACTTAACGAACAATTTAGGAATTGTATTCGCACGCAGTATACCAATTTATGAATGATATTGCATTTTAAAGCTGTTTTTTGTCCTCCTAGGATTCATCAGCGAAGTTATGGGTTTTTATTGTAAAAATTTAGGACGTGACTGAGGAAAAACAATGAAAAAAGTCACATTTGCGCTTCATAACAACAAAAACCACTTAGCACGCTAACAGGCAACAAACACGTCTACCTTTGTACCGAACAATTTTCCCCAAGTAAGATCATGATGACGACTTTAGAACTTTCCCATCAACCTGTATCACTTAAAACCCATTGATTTAGATTTATCTGTCAGCTTTCGATATTTTCACGAAGACCGTGATTTGAAGAACATGTCTGAGATACATTGCCTCTTGATAAACAGGTTTGTTAATATGTAGTAATGGAAAATTTACGATAGGTAGATCGAAATCTTTCGGTTATCTTACAACTTGGTTGGAAATGTATCGGTTGGTTCCATCGCAGGACAATAGTTAATATAAACGGCTGATGGTTGGAAATTACTACAGACACGGTCTTGTATTTCTAATAGAAAAACATATCACCAGAAAGTTTAAAGGTAAAACTGAAGGATCTGGTAAGGCCTTTATTACTTGTTGTGATAAACTCTGATAGATTCAGTATCATATGAAAACAAAAACAAGTCAGTCAAGACAAGCTCGAATTTCTTCAAATATGTACACCATTAGTCTGTTGGAAAATGTCACCATCAAACAGAACGAAGATATTGTCAACCAGAACTTTGGAAATTTCTTCCTGACTTTATACACACAGATCTTGACACTGATTTAACGTTACCAGATTTCTATGTAAATGTAAATTGAGTATTGTCGACTGATTAAAAAAATCGTAACAAGCAGGTCAGCAGTCGAAACTCGTTTTCTCAAAAAACCTTATCCGCAGTCAATCCGCTTTTTTCGAGGTGTTGTGGCCAATACGGTCTCGGAATAACGTATGTGTCACGGTACCTCGAGGAAATATGTTTTTATCTGTTTTGTCACCTGAAATATATATAGGATTCAGATATAGGCCATTTATGATGAGACATTTATTTATGTTTCTGTCTGGACGTATGTTACACAGTAACGCAATTAATTTTCCGGCAATTGCGATCAGAATGACGCTTCATTAATGCCGTTTGAAGGCCTTGATGCGTTCATTTGAATATCCACGTGATTTACAGTTATTTCCACATCATAGATGTCGTCATATCATCTAATCTGCAGAGACAATTAATTAAAATTGGGGTAATTGATACTTTCTAAATATATTCTATGGATATCGTGTTATCTTACACTCGTCATGAATACATCTAATAATAGTATACCACAAGGACTGATATTACCGATGAAGAAGAAGATACGGTTCGCCAAGTTGCCACAGTTTTATCAAATTTAGTTACAAATACGTATTTGTGAACAATTCTGTTTTCTGTTTATAGGAAATGTACATGATGGTTCAATGCACCTTCATTTGTGTGATTGGACCTCTAGAGTAGAAGACCTCACCGAACACCGGATTAGGGGTCTTCGATACAAATACAGAAAAGGCTGTAACTGTGAGGTAGGGCATTTGTTGAGATACCTAGAGAGTAATGTTAACATCATGTAAATGTATCTATATGATTATAATTATTACAATACCTACAGCAGGCAGCGTGTGATTACACTAATACTAGTATGTTATATAATAAAAGTACGATAAAATCTGACAAACTGTATTGTGACTCCACAGTTAGCATCAGGATGGTTTATCTAACCAGATATATATAGATGTTTGCAAAAGTCAAACTCATTTTGATCGAGTTAAATATGTAAACACCAGTTTTGAATTTTACTGAAGCCCGATTTGAAAACAAATGGGATTGGTCAGATGGTCTTTAGCAATCTTGATATAAGTTAGTATAAATAGCATCTTTACAGGCTGCTAGACTGGAAAATACAGTGTAATGACGGAAACACGATTCAATACTTTTCAAATAATGACATGCACATCTTTCAGATAAAGAGATGTTTCGGTGACCAATGCAACAACTTAAGCAACCAAAACGACACGTGTCCGTGGAGAAATGTTAATGAATGTGAAGTTGAGTATGGTTTCTGTACAAACAGACCGGATACTGGATGCTCCTGGAGACGAAACGGCATGCGAAGAGGGTGTTTAGAGAGTTTGAATATCGCATGATATGATCACTTGTATTACACGACAAATCAATGACATAATGCAAAGACATGCTGCAACAATAAATGATTGTCTTTCGGATTGATGATGTTTTTCATTCATGTAAATGTTATGTTTTCATCAAAGACATGGCATTTGTTTGCTGGGTTCATCGTACTTTGAACAGACATGGTCGGAGCCACCTCTCGACAAGTTACTACATCTTTGAGAGTACTTAATTGCCATGCCTCCTATCTGTGTTTGTAGACGTTTCAATAGGTCAAATATTAATGAATGTCATATATTTTATATGTAATTTTAGATGCAAATATTTTATATATTTTGATTTGTTATTAATTTTGTTCTCTATTGTTAAGTGACATGACCTGGACTGATCAGGATGAAGTAGAAACGTTTACTCTTCGGAACACCTGGCCATTTTCTCCATAAACTTAACCACATAAGGCATTTCTCAAATATGTTTCCTGTGTTTATCGGCCCGTGGATAGATACAGCAATTTTAAGGTCGTCTAACTGAGAAACAGACTGGAGACCAGTCTTGCCCTAAGGCACAGCCATGTTACCACAGACTGGTTTTTCAGTTTCCCAAGAAACAAACCGCCGTGGGTAGTCAAACTTTCTTAAAATGCATGGCGGTTTAACGATGATGTGAAAACAATTGCATTTCAACAGACATTGTATCTGAGACGAAAATTGACGTCTTTCTAAAAATATGTTTCTCAAAACAAACAAAAAACATAAAAAAAATATTTTTGTCGGCTAATAATTATAGTTTAAGGAGATAAAACGTAGCAGAAAAGTCACTCCAATCCTTTTTTCAGGTTTTTGTGATCGTAGAAAACGTCAAGAATTTCACAATTAATGCTCATTTTCTCAGCACTGGGTTGAGGTTATGAACTGCATCTGTAGTTGTATCAAGACTAGATGATGACCTGGTTTATCTAGGATGTGTTCAGCTCTCAGTATTATGACCATTGATGAAAAAATCGAGAAATCTTGAGTGATTGCTGAATTTTCTCAAAGCTGCATTGAGATACTGAAAGAATTTTCGTTTTATAAGAAAATGCTTTCTTCTCCTTTTTACGTTATGGTCCTTGAACTGATAAGATGCGAGAAAATTATCCGTTTTCGATAAACTGAAGGGGAATATTACACTGAAATTTCTGTAAGTACATAAGTACATAAGTACTTTTATAAGAATAAAATATTGTTCACTTTTTTACTTCTGGAAAGTATATTTGTAATATTCTATACGTATTTCGAATTTCAGTGAAATGCCTGTGAAATAATAATTTGATGATAGTAGATAATATAATTTAAATTGCCTTGAATTTTTGCATATTTTCAACGAATATGAGTTTAATTATGAAATAATATTATTCAGCGAAAGTCTCAAATGTTGCAAAATTTGCCTAAAATGTTGTAGACCTCTTAAATGTAATATTAGTTGGTTATCTTCTATAAATATTCTGGTTATATCTAAAAGAGGACTTTTTTGTTGTGTTCATGGAAGAAGAATAACGAATTTGCAAAATGATGTGACCGAGCGAGAAAGATAGATGAAACAGCTAGCAAACCATGTATGGTTAAAAGAGTTACTTCCCTTGCTATCTATTTGATTGCAAAAATAATAATCTTAGTAAAATAGCATGAAACGGACAAAATGCTGATATATCAGGAAGTAAGATATCATGTCAATTGCATTTTGATCTGAAAAAACAATTTCAGTCAAATTAAATCTTCCAAAAATATGTTTTAATTGATAAGATGGACACCAGAAATTGATACTGAGGTAAATGGAGTGGATTTGTATTGACATGTAATTTTTCTTTCTGTCTGTATTTTTCTTTGTAAATGGAAAACATCTATCAATACAATTGGTATTCTTTATATTTCCTTTGATTTCATAAGCCACAAATATCATAAGTATCCGTGATCGTTATCAAACTGCTTCCAAAACACATGATATAGCTGAACAAACGCTCACAGTTATGGATTACAGACATAGCAGGTAATTATCATGAGATGCTTGCAGTAGACCCATCTACAGAAAAATACAATTTCTGTCGATAGAAATGTTGAAGGAATGCCAGCTAGAATGTAGAGAATTACCAGGCTCTGGAGCAAGAGGCTGGGTCGGAGGGGCGGCGTCAATCACAGGGTGGTCTGGTGGCGCCGTGGTTACGTACTCGCCTATCACCGTCCGGAGTTCGATACCCGGAACGGACGTCAAAGGTATGGGGTCACCTGCCGGACCATGTAGATTTTCCCCGTGCCACTCCTGTTTCTTCAAACGGTAAGACCTCTAGCGCGCTTACATCCGGTCCAACAAGAGTGCAAATACGTTGGGAATACTTGTTTCTCAATTGTTGTAAAATAAATAAAGTTCATTTAATAACAGAACAGACTTATTCCGTACAATGTATTATTTTCTCCTTTTTCATACGGGTTTGTTACCACAGTCCACAGAGCCCACAACACACAAGTGCCACAAAGATTTACAAAAGCAAAACCAGTCAGTATTTTTATCAGATCTGTTTAAAAATTACTTAATTGACCCTACAAACCTTCATTACATGATTATAAAAAAAAAATACTTTTAAGTCTTTTAATTTTGATCATTAAAGAAATTTTGTAACAACTGACGGACATTTGTTTATTGAGAAGAACTTTTGAAAGGGGAAATGGGGAGGAAGCTGAGCTTTTCTTTGTTAAATCTAAGGTGTTAAATGAAAAACAAGAAAATACCAGCATTCAGTAAAGCTAGAACAAAAAACGACAAAATAAAAAATCTAAGCTAATTATGCTCCATTAATCTTCACTCATAAACGTATTCATGCAAAGAATACAATGTAACAAATTCCGAAATCGGTGACGTCACGAAATTTACGACGCGGCAATGTTGATGAACGGGTTGACGGGAGTCGTCAATACGCTATTAAGACACAGTTTATATTGTACAATACTTTCGCATCAATGCATGTATGTGGTGTTTGTTAAATTTCATAATCGCCAACACGTCAATTATTGTCAATCCCGGTCGGAGAGGTCTATGACAAATAGTTAACAGTAGCGAGTATCCCGAGAGTAATTTTATGTATCTTGGCAGGGGTTATGTTGTTGCATTGTTGGATTTATAGCGTATTTCTAGTATCCACACAGCATCCCATGCCTTTTTTAAAAACATAATTTCTCAAATCAATACATATTCTGACTTGTTACTACGGCCGTTGTCACAGACGCGTTTATGAGGAACACAAAAGAGTTCGATTCATTTTGAGTTACATTAACTTCAATGTCTGTTTTTTTCTAAAGTGTAGCCTTGTAGTTTATATGGTAATGATTCCACCTGATTTTTTCAACGATAAATCATCAACATAACACATTAGGTATGCAACTAACCTACCCTATCGCATGATTTAATCATCCGTTAAAAATAAAACCATGAAAACTATTCAGATGGACAGCATATACTATCTGGCAATATAAATTTGGTGTCACATATATGTCGTTTACGCTGGCTTCTGCTTGAAGGCACTCGTACACAGGAATATCTCTGTGTGATCAGGCATTGACGACAGTATCGGCAAAGCGTTTTACACTTGGATGAAAGGTTTCATACTGTTATCGTAGGGCTGTCAAGCTACCACCTTCAATCACGTACAAAATCATCAAGAATGTACCAACATGGCAGTATAATCATTATTCAAACTCAAATTCCATAAACTACGGCAAAGTATGAACAAAAATTCACATTTAAGCGAAGACTTGAAAAAGTACAAGGATAATAAGACCTCGCCCCACTTGTATAAAACATCTGAACTTGAGATTTCCGCAAGTCGAGACTTTCCTAAGCTGATATCTCCTCCAAAACGGCTTGTATCAAATTTTCTCAAGAACAGGAGGAAGTCATCGGCTAAAATGTCCTGAAATTCCTTGAGGAATTTTCATACAAAATATTTTCAAGGAGATATTAGCTGAGGAAAATCTGGGCTTGAGGAAATCTCAAGTTGAGATGTTTTATATAAGTGGGGCCAGGTATTCAGGAAGAGTAAGCGCCCTCTGCTTCATCGATGACATCCGCCATGTAAACCTTAGATTATCCAAGTAAGTATCCAAGTAAGTAATGCCACGTTCTCAAATGAGAACAATGGTATCAAACAACGGAATTAACACGCAAACTAACGAGCCGAGCAATTCGGTGTGGAACTTGCAAACAGATTTCGCCTAGTAAGAGTGCTTAAATACTCATCCTAATGGGCTGTCGTACACAGTGGTCTACCCGACCGAAGTCTTTCGGTGACGTTTTCGGTTATCTAGAATCGATTCCATAATCCAGAAATGACATTCTGCGACACATTGAATGCAGCTGTCATGTGACGTGTTCAAAACAGGATGCAAAATCACAGGACCTTCAGAAGGAACACAAACTTTATTGATTGATTTGACGTCCACACAGACTTTCAATAAAACAACAATTGACAGTTTAGTTTTAACCCTGTGTTACAGCCTTGCCTTACGTTTACTGTAGTTTATCAAATCATTACCGGAAAGTTATTGTACATATACTGGCGATAAAACAGTGGTAAAGGAGTGTCAAGCTCGATTTATCTTAATGGCAGAAAAAAAATCACATTTATTTATTATCCTATTGTGTGTCAAGTATATCAGTGTCTTTAGGGCCTATGCCGCGTAGGGACATGATACCCTTAAGGAATGGAATATAAGATGGTGTTTTTTCAATAGCAAAACATAGAAAATTAAAATTAATGGTAATGCACTCCTGAAAAACACGTTCAGCACCACATTACACTGAGACTATTTTTCAAACACTATGACGACCGTAAAATTTTCATCAACCTGCTTCTTATAGTTTACAATTTACCAGTTGTCATTTTTTTCATGAATCGCACATTTAAAAATGGCATTAGTAGCTAAAGTAACAACAAAACTTATATTTCATAATAATTTCTTAGAACTATGTAAATTAACGTGTCCAAATTGGTAATTGTCTAAAGAATAATTGAATTTTACATCCTTTTTTATTTAAATCGTCCTTGAAATAATTCAATATTCGGACTATTGCGCACATGATGGTGATACAATTACCTAGTAACTGGGTCATTTTAATTTTCTAGGAGGATTTGTATTACAGGACCTTAAACACCAATACAGAAGTTAGTCAATTAGGTCCCATTTTTATAGAATGATTTCTGAAATCGAGTTTTACTGATTAAAACTACCTATAATTATACCTTTCTGTATTTATCAGTTTTTGAAATTTCAATGTTAAACCTCCACAGGTGCTGGTCCTACCTTCAACATCTAGTTGAGCTTGCGGATAAACATTATAGCCGATGAAAGGTGATTAGATATAATTCATTTTATCTTGTGTCAGACCCTGATATGTGTTCGTTTTGTAGTACAAGTATTATCAATTACATCGTTATTATTTAGCTGTATGACAACATATTCATCGACTTTTTAACATCGCATTGTTCTATAATCCATTACAGAAACAATAGCACAATTGCACCACTCCGTACCGTCGACCTAAGGCATTTTAACATTATTTACTCAGATATAACGAGTTCACTACACTGAACAAACTTTAATTGTTGTATAGTTTAATAGTCAGGTAAGTTTACCAACAGTTTCCATTCATCGCAAATGGACACAACTTGACCAATAAATTAAATCCCTAGTCAATGATACTTAGTAAGCTAACGATTTTTCCCAAACAATTTTTTATTTTGTTTTTTACAGCAATTATTTTTCTTTGATGATATCAGGTCAATTTACAAGCAATATCGCTGATTAGTTTGACCTAGTTCAGCTGAAAACACTAATAGCATAGTAGATGCTACTTTTTATATCCTACTTCGTTGTGTCTCTACAGACGTTACATTCATTCATGTGATTTCTAACTAAATACGAAATCACCAAGCTATTTACAACTTCTAGCTTTCTTAAAAACGAAACTTTTTAATGTGTAAGATATCCTATCATATCAAGACTAAACATAACTTAATCTGAAGACTTCACTGTTGAATAATATATATGACTATGATGTCAATTTTCTTGTTCTTTCGACATTTAAATCATATTAATTACAAGTTAATGCAAAATGTAGATAGGTATTTTATGTTTTGAGGGATGCAATATCAAGTTTGATTGTAGGAAATAAATACCTGTAAATAGTGCAGAGACATTGAATACAACAATACCAATACTGAATATGATAATATATTGAATTAGAATGATGAGAAATGATGCAAATATAGGCGAGTAAAAAACTAAACATGCTCTGCCTGAAATTAACACCGATGTAAATAATCGACCAAATCTTATTTCAGGAAGATTTAATAAATGAGTGATTAAAATGATCAAAATAATGAACAAAATACTGCAAAATCCGCATAAGACCAGGTGTTCCGGAACAGTTAGTGTCCTCTGCAACAACCATTATAAGATTGTACAGGAGACGCACAAGTAAATAGAACCTTTCAATATATTGAGATTAAAATGAAAACATCAGTTAGATGTAAGCAGATGATGAAACGTCCAATCATCCGCATCAATAAACATTTAATATCTACATATCGTACATATTAACGGATTGATATCCATCTGTGATAGCATTTTTATAAATATTATTTTTATATCACTACTAACTTTGTCTTCCTCTCACACATTTGTATGAATGAAGCTTAATGCGTACTCGCAAACAAAACTGTTACACCTGGGTTTATATATATCCCTGTGAAAGGCCTGAATTAATTGTTGCTGTCGAGTTAAGCATTTCTATCAATGGCCTACAAAATATGTGTTCAAAGTGATAACGATGGCCAATTATGGCATGTTCAAGCTATCCTATAATATTATGTGAGCGTCTTAACGCGTGCCATGTGTCTTCCCTACTCGTTAGTGGCTGTGTTATCTAGCAAAAACGAGATCACCTTATTAAACATTCCACATAGCTGATTACAACAGTTTTAAGCAGTTTCTGTCATTTGACTGTCGTTTCTGTGTCTAACATCATTAGTATCTGTCCAACTTACTCTTGATTAAAATGTCTCCACAAATAATTTATTGTAAGACATTATTTCACTTCCTGCTTTTTATTATTATCTTGTCCTGTATTGTTGTATAATTTTGCCGTATTATGCCATTTTTTCGCCGATTTGTAGGTGTAGTTTTTTAACACCAAATACGTCCGACTCCTCGCCCTGTTCGATGTCGAATCCTGTATGCTAGTACATGTATCTGGTTTTGCGCCCTATAATGTTCCACACTTGAACATCGACTTTAAACATATGTATTTCCTATCTATCAAGTAAGGCAAACACGAAGATACTTTGTCAATATGCTAATAGATAGATTTTATTTACCGTAGCGCGTTTTGTATATGAGGAGAACATTAATCAATGATCGGGCTCTAGGGGACATAGTTAGTACAACATGCACACTGATACAGCAGGATACAGTCAGAGAGACAAAGACACGGAGTGTCTGATTGAAATCCAAACCGACGGACATTAACTCTTTAATGGTCACGAAGAATAGGAGGAACCATGCTGAAAAAGTATATAATGTTGATGCGTCATTTAACTTACAAATAGCCATCAGGGCGAGTGATATAAACTACATATCTGGTGGACATTTTGTGAAGTTTGTTTTAATGGATCCGCTGAAACTTTTAGTCTGTGTGTGTTTTCTTTTGACAGGTAAGACTTTTAATACACCAGGTATATGAACTGCTGTCGTAAATGTGAGCGGTTAGGTGTTAGTCTTACACCTCTAATACGATTCCACTAGTCGGTTCTTTGGCATCTTGCGTTGTTTTGCTTCACTTTTCTTACGCTTTCTTTTCAGAGCTATATATTAGCTATCACGTTGCATTATTAAACTATCATTTAGCCTTTTCTGGTGATTAATTTCTTTCTAAATCTATATTGAGAGGTGCTTTTCTCTAGTGTTTCTTTTGTATACAATCTTTTTCATGGCTACAATTTAAGTCGTGCGAATTTCCTTCTAGGGAATGGTAATAATTTTGTTACACTTAAAAGTGAAATTGTATATTTTACCTCACCTGGTACGCGTCATGTTTTTAACACTCTTCGAGGTCTGAACACGTTGAATGTTTCCCAATGTACTTCTGGAATTGTTACCCGTCTTAGTTTATAATGATCATTTTCTAAATTATTTTGTCAATGAAGCAGAAGACACATACTCTTCCGAAACACTTTCTCTTATTCTTCTTGCACTTTTTTGCGGAAATCTTATAAATGTTTTACTTTTTTTACTGCCTTATTTTTTTCTAATTGTGTTTGAATTAAGATCCTGTCAATATTTCGATGTTTGTTTTTATACCACTGATCAAATACTTTATGTTTTTGTTGATATTGTTCCCTAGACTCTATCAACTGATGTATTTATAATATGTAAGCATTTTGTTGTTAGGCATTGATTTTTCAATACCTTTTTTAATCGATTATATGGAAATGTCTTTCATCCTTCAATTAGGACTTAGCCATGTAGTGTTTGGAAACAACTCAAATATGAACTGAATATTTCAGTCAGAACGATTCTTTCTTAATCGCATATAACTAAAATATTTTTTTATTATCTTTTATGTAATTAAATGATCAAAGGTAAGCGCTCTGCGACATAAGTAGAAATTATTGGATAACTTAAATGTTGCCGTAGAATCCCTTTCAATGATTTCCATAACACGGTGGATTTTATTCTCTCTCGAATTCTACAAAAAATTAATGCTATTTATTAATCAAACAAAATATTTACGAGCGTTTTTATCTATACTGAGAATCTTAAATATATCGTATGTGAAATTATGGATTGTTCATTAAAACAGGTTTACATCTATCATTCTTACATTGAAAGATATTTGGTTGGCAATTATCATGAAATACGATTTGCGCCAGTAATTGATAACATAATTCTACGTTTTCCTTGTTTGTGACTTAGAATGCATCCGACGTCAAAATGTGTTTTCACAACTGAGCTATTGAAGACAACAAAAAAGCTGACTGTGTAAAAATAATATTGGTAAAATCGTAGCTATTAAGGTTGTTAACTACTCAAAACTCTTTAGTACCATGCATGATAAAAATGAAAAAGAATGATATTATGAGAATAATGTTTTAAATCGAATGAAAAATTTAAAAAGCAAATTACAATAAAAAATAAAGTAATAATAATCACGTGCTGCAGGATTCAGAGGAATTATCACAACCGTAGGTGAGCGAAGATCAATCCGTTGTCAGGGGTAACGCAAACACTGGTTGACAGTGATGAGACAGATCAATTTGCTAATAAATTGTTTACGTAGGTCTTACAAAAGATTATGTAGATAACGAGCTATGATGCAGAAAGATGTAAAATAACTAATATTTGTATAAAATCTATATTGATATTTTAAGTATATGAATGCTATTACATTACACGAGACAAAGGCTTGTTACGATGGGTAGCCCATTAAATTATTGGAATTTGAAATATATTAATTAAATGAAAACAAACTGTAAAATAGTTACTAATCTTTACGACACGACAAGAAAGTGTCCATTTTACAGGTCATGTATTCCATAAATCTAAGACTTAGGAGTATAACAAAATACCGAAATGTCAACAAAATGAATTTTAATTAAAATTTAAGATGGAGGCAACGAGTACAATATATGAACTAAAAGGATAGTCCCCACCTTAGTAACTACGATTTGACCAATGTATATATATTACATATATATATATATATATATATAATATTTGTTTGTTGTTTGTGCTCTAATCATCTAATAAAAAAAGTTTTGTAATAAACACAAGTTTCATAAAATCTAGTGAATCAGTGGTTGGATAACCATATCAATAGCTCAGTTAAGAAAACACTTTTTGACGTCACATGCATTTCAAGAAGACGTAACTTTTATTATTATTATTATTATGTGCAAATCTGAGAAAACCGCATTTTCAATGTAGGAATGATATATGTAAACCTGTTTTGATGAACCATCCATAATTTCACATACGATATATTTAAGATTCTCAGTATAGATAAAAACGATGTAAATATTTTGTTTAATTAATAAATAGCATTAACTTTTAGTAGAATTCGAGAGAGAATAAAATTCACCGTGTTATGGAAATCATTGAAAGGGATTCTACAGCAACATTTAAGTTATCCAATCATTTCTACTTATGTCGCAGAGCGCTTACCTTTGATCATTTAATTACATAAAAGATAATAAATGGTTATTTTAGTTATATGCGATTAAGAAAGAATCATTCTGACTGAAATATCCAGTTGATAATTGAGCTGTTTCCAAACACTAGATGACTGGGTCCTAGTTGAGCGATAAAATACATTTCCAGATATCCTAGGAACCCAGACTTGAACACAAGCAAATCAGTTTGAGTGTGTGTGAGTAAGACGTCATGAAAACGATTTCATGTTTCCAGGAAGGGCAAGCGTCTTTTCTTTTCGTCGACGACATCCGTTAGTACGCCTTAGTAAATTTAAGTAATTAATACTATGTTCCCAAATGACAACAATCTTACCAACAACTAAAACTACCAGGCATACTAAAGAGCATCTAACAGGTTCAACTTCAATATCAAAGGTATCTGCCTTTCGATAGCAAAAGAGAACACATGGTTGACATGTTTTATTTTATTTATTTATTTTAAGAAAGCCAACTCGAAAAATTTCGAAAATCTGACAAATTTGATATCAAGATTTGTAACTTCAAAACTACTCATGATTTGCTGTCGTTAGAGGACTCCTGAGGGCTCGAATTCAGATAAACAACCTACCTACCAGTTTACATTATAAGACATTCCTCCATTGGCCTCTACGGTTGGGTTTGGGGCGGGTGGGTGATAACTCGTTGGTATAGAGTTCGACGTCTCCTATCCTTGTTAGCTTTTAATGAGGATGTGGAACGGATCGTTCTGTTTTGTCGTGAGTATGTCCTTTGACAAGACAACTTAATAAAGTGGTGAGACATGTTGTTGACTTAGGTAGCTACTTGCTGCTACAAGGAGTCTTCGTATGTATATGAATCTGGCTGTTCAAGAGGTGGTAAACCCAGCAAAAATGCAGTCTACGTTTATTCATCTAAGTCTAGATTACCATTTTAGCTGCTCTGAATCGAGTGAAAAGGTTTTCTCCTTGTGTTACATGTTTCTATAAACTGAAAGTGGCAAAATTAAGCTAGTAAGTGAGTCGCTTTCCATTCGATTACGCTGGAGGGAAATCGAGGAAATAATCTTTTGCTACTATATTGCTCGCTGCTTTGTGCTTGTACAAGGATCTTGCAATAAAAAATCACTTTCTGGACTAGATAGAGGATTTTTATTGTTTTCCGTCCAAATAGTTCACAACATGACAAATATGCTAATCCGGATAAAAAGATATATCTTTATAACAAAAGCCGAATGAAACATCAAACAGCAAGTGTTCAGTTCGGGAAAAAGCAGCGCATTCTTTGACGTCCGTTATTTTAACGTAATGATTGACAACAAAACGATGCTTTAGAATTTGCAGCGTTACGATTTATTATTCCAGGCTCTGCTGTTGACAGCGACGGATTGGTTGCCACAATATTTTCATCCCGCGTAGTATATGTAACTTGCCAGTCTTTCCCAGATAACACCTCTGTTTTGTTATTCGTCGTGTATACATTTTGTACTTTCACTTTTTAACTGAGATTGATATTGGTTTATTGTGATATCAATGATATATGATGTAATTTGGTTACAATATTGGCACATGACATCTCAAAAGACGTAAATGTTGTTTTTGACGCTGATCGATGGCATACAAAACAGTCTGCAGTTGTGTCCTTCGTTGATATTGTCAGGGATCCCGCCATTGTTGTGCATGACGTCAAACATTTACTATTGTCAGTCGGTGAATAAGTCACATTTTCTGCTAGAATCTAAACATCAATTGATATTGAAATTTATATTTGTGATTTATATAAATAACTGACCATGTTAGGCTGCATACTGCAAAGTTATAATGAGTAAGCTATGGCAGCGAAAACCATACTCAGCTTCGTCCTTTTATATCTGTCCAAAATACGCCAGTAATTTAGCTATTTTGTTTGTGAAAATACAATAAATAAAATAATTAATAGTGTCTTCAGTGATCACAAATATATTTCACGCATGTATCTAATATTTTTTGTATTTTTCACTCCTGCAGATACTGAAATATTAGACACATTTGTGAAACATGCTTGTTATTACTGAAAGCATTATCAAATATCCTATATATAATTCCTGGAAAGGTTATGTCAACCGATAGTGGTAATTACTGCAGTAATGATATAAGTTTTTATCAATTGATAAAGGTCTATATTTCTCTGGTATAAACAATTATATATTTCAGACATAGGGTGACATCAGATCGATATTTTTCTCGTTGATGCTAGCGAGTCCTGTTCGTTTGATTCAACTAGACACAGCTAGACTAGTTTTATAACTTTGAGTGGGGTCGTGTTGACTTCATTATAGGTTCTTTGCTGTTATATAATAATGATTAAACTGGTTCAATCTTTCCACCCGCATGTTGAACATAACAATACAAGGTTCGTACACGAATTTTATGGAATACTGGATGTATGCTAACCGGATGTATTATTGTTTCTTACATTATTCTTCCTGAACTATGGTGTCTGTTTGTGTTCGTCAATCTATGTTATGTCGCTACCTATCTGTGTTTATATATGAAAACTGTTTTCCTGATGTTTCGTCTATAAATGAGGTCGCGACCTATCCATATTTGTCTGTAACATTTAAATGTACAAATGAGGTCGCAACCTATCCATATTTGTCTGTAACACTAAAATGTACAAATGAGGTCGCAACCTATCCATATTTGTCTGTAACACTAAAATATACAAATGAGGTCGCGACCTATCCATATTTGTCTGTAACACTTAAATATACAAATGAGGTCGCAACCTATCCATATTTGTCTGTAACATTTAAATGTACAAATGAGGTCGCAACCTATCCATATTTGTCTGTAACACTAAAATATACAAATGAGGTCGCGACCTATCCATATTTGTCTGTAACACTTAAATATACAAATGAGGTCGTGACCTATCCATATTTGTCTGTAACACTTAAATGTACAAATGAGGTCGCGACCTATCTATATTTGTCTGTAACACTTAAATGTACAAATGAGGTCGCGACCTATCTATATTTGTCTGTAACACTTAAATGTACAAATGCGGTCGCAACCTACCCATTTTCATTTTGTGTCTGTCTTCCTGTGTCAGATATTGTTCGATCTCTTTCTCTCCACGTTTTTTCTCAAACGACTGGATTCTTGTTTTGTTCTTCTTACTCCATGTGATCGCCTCCTTGTTAGTTGCTTCTACATGGGACATCTCAAAGTCATTTAATTATCTCTCAATTCCTGTCAAGATCTTCCTCAATCTCTGGTTGTATAGTTCTATAAGACTGTATCCCGCTGTGTTGTATTTGTTTGTATTTATTTGTATGAATGTTTCAGGCCTGTCAACTCCCAGTGAGACAATATGTTCCGGAGAGTCCTATGAATATAACACGAGTCTGACTATTTGTTACTGGCTAGTGCTAACTGAACAATCTGCCCAGGCGTCAGAAGAACAATGTATTGATGAAGGTGGTAACCTGGCTTACGTGCCTAACCAATCTGCCCTTGACACTATCAACACCCTCAGGACCAATGCAGGGTACGTATCAAAGTATGCGTTTGTCATCAGAATTATACACCTAAGTATATGTCATACAGTGAACTAGCTGTCAAGATCAGAGTGACCAACAGATGGCAATTCCCGATTTAACATTATCTCCGTTACAATAATGCCATTTCTATTATGGATTGGTTGTCGGAATCATTTTTACATTTATTGGTGTGTATTAAACATTGTATCGCTTTAGCACTTCAGCTGGCCATGTTAGGTATACAGCAAACAAAGCATGTCACAGGTCATTTTACATCCCACATCCACTTTATACATCCATAATCTGAGAAATAAAAACGCAAATGCACCCATGTTGCTTGGATAGTTCACTGGTTAGTGTTGACCTACGTAACCAGGTGAAGATCCGAGGTACGACGTTCCGTTATCATGGAATTTCTCAGAAAGCTGAGCGACGGAACAGTCTGTGTTGATGTTGTTGTGTTCTTAGGCAAGAGACTAAGATATTTAAAAAATATATGTAAATACATTTTGTGTTAAAAGTCGTATCAATCGGTTAACAACACCGCAAGGATATTTTGAAAGTAAAATCTACACATTAGTGTCATAGTGCTACACATAAGTGTCGTCCTGCTACACATTACCGTCATCCTGCTACACATATGTGTCATCCTACTACACATTAGTGTCATCCTGCTTTACATTAGTGTCATCCTGCTACACATAAGTGTCATCCTACTACACATTAGTGTCATCCTGCTACACATAAGTGTCATCCTACTACACATTAGTAATATCTTGCTAACCATTAGTGTCATCCTGCTAAACATTAGTGTCATCCTGCTTAACATCAGTATCATCATGCTACACATAAGTGTCATCCTGCTACACATTAGTGTCATCCTGCTACACATAAGTGTCATCCTACTACACATTAGTGTCATCCTGCTTCACATTAGTGTCATCCTGCTACACATAAGTGTCATCCTACTACACATTAGTGTCATCCTGCTACACATAAGTGTCATCCTACTACACATTAGTGTCATCCTGCTACACATAAGTGTCATCCTACTACACATTAGTGTCATCCTGCTTCACATTAGTGTCATCCTGCTTCACATTAGTGTCATCCTACTACACATCAGTATCATCATGCTACACATTATTGTCATACTGCTACACATTAGTGTCATCCTGCTTAACATTAGTATCTTGCTAAACATTAGTATCATCCTGCTACACATTAGTGTCATCCTGCTACACATTAGTGTCATCCTGCTACACATTAGTGTCATCCTACTACACATTAGTGTCATCCTGCAACACATTAGTGTCATCCTGTCTGCACACATTAGTATCATCCTGCTAACACATTTGTCATCCTGCTAAACATTAGTGTCATCCTGCTTAACATCAGTATCATCATGCTACACATTAGTGTCATCCTGCTACACATTAGTGTCATCCTGCTTCACATTAATGTCATCATGCTACACATTATTGTCATACTGCTACACATTAGTGTCATCCTGCTACACATAGTGTCACATCCTGCTTCACATTAATGTCATCATGCTACACATTATTGTCATACTGCTACACATTAGTGTCATCCTGCTTAACAATAGTATCATCTTGCTAAACATTAGTATCATCCTGCTACACATTAGTGTCATCCTGCTTCACATTAGTGTAATCCTGCTAAACATTAGTGTCATCCTGCTTCACATTAGTGTCATCCTACTACACATTAGTGTCATCCTGCTACACATTAGTGTCATCCTGCTACACATTAATGTCATCCTGCTAAACATTAATGTCATCCTGCTAAACATTAATGTCATCTTGCTAAACATTAGTGTCATCCTGCTTCACATTAATGTCCTCATGCTACACATTAATGTCATCATGCTACACATTAATGTCATCCTGCTTCACATTAATGTCATCCTGCTAAACATTAGTGTCATCCTGCTTAACATCAGTATCATCATGCTACACATTAGTGTCATCCTGCTACACATTAGTGTCATCCTGCTTCACATTAATGTCATCATGCTACACATTAATGTCATCCTGCTAAACATTAATGTCATCCTGCTAAACATTAGTGTCATACTGCTACACATTAATGTCATCCTGCTACACATTTGTGTCATCTTGCTAAACATTAGTATCATCCTGCTACACATTAGTGTCATCCTGCTAAACATTAGTGTCATCCTGCTAAACATTAATGTCATCCTGCTACACATTAGTGTCATCCTGCTAAACATTAGTGTCATACTGCTACACATTAGTGTCATCCTGCTAAACATTAATGTCATCCTGCTAAACATTAATGTCATCCTGCTACACATTAGTGTCATCCTGCTAAACATTAGTGTCATCCTGCTACACATTAGTGTCATACTGCTACACATTAGTGTCATCCTGCTAAACATTAGTGTCATCCTGCTTCACATTAGTGTCATCCTACTACACATTAGTGTCATCCTGCTACACATTAGTGTCATCCTGCTAAACATTAGTGTCATCCTGCTTCACATTAATGTCATCATGCTACACATTAATGTCATCATGCTACACATTAATGTCATCCTGCTTCACATTAATGTCATCCTGCTAAACATTAATGTCATCCTGCTAAACATTAGTGTCATACTGCTACACATTAGTGTCATCCTGCTACACATTAGTGTCATCCTGCTAAACATTAGTGTCATCCTGCTTCACATTAGTGTCATCCTGCTAAACATTAGTGTCATCTTGCTAAACATTAATGTCATCCTGCTACACATCAGTGTCATATTGCTTCACATAAGTGCCATCCTGCTACACATTAGTGTCATCCTGCTACACATTTGTGTCATCTTGCTTCACATTAGTGTCATCCTACTACACATTAGTGTCATCCTGCTACACATTAGTGTCATCCTGCTACACATTAGTGTCATCCTGCTACACATTAGTGCCATATTGCTTCACATAAGTGCCATCCTGCTACACATTAGTGTCATCCTGCTACACATTAGTGTCATCCTGCTACACATTAGTGCCATATTGCTTCACATAAGTGCCATCCTGCTAAACATTAGTGTCATCTTGCTAAACATTAGTATCATCCTGCTACACATTAGTGTCATCCTGCTTCACATTAGTGTCATCCTGCTAAACATTAGTGTCTTCTTGCTAAACATTAGTGTCATCCTGCTACAAATTAGTGTCATATTGCTTCACATAAGTGCCATCCTGCTACACATTAGTGTCATCCTGCTACACATTTGTGTCATCTTGCTTCACATTAGTGTCATCCTACTACACATTAGTGTCATCCTGCTACACATAAGTGTCATCCTACTACACATTAGTGTCATCCTGCTACACATTAGTGCCATATTGCTTCACATAAGTGCCATCCTGCTACACATTAGTGTCATCCTGCTACACATTTATGTCATCCTACTACACATTAGTGTCATCCTGCTACACATTAGTGTCATCTTGTTAAACATGTGTTTTGTTTGAGGTGTTACATTCATTCGTTTTGGTGAAATCTCAATTATTTACAGGTATCAGTATACCCCGGAGTTTTACATAGGATACAAAGAATACGGATCTACCGTATATGTGTGGGACACAAACATAGAACAGAACTTTAAGCCCTGGGCGTCAGGACAGCCGACCAGTAATACGAATGAATGTATCACCGTGTACAATATTGATGGTACGTGGTGGGACGAAAAATGCACTACGAATTACAAGGCGGTTTGTTCGGATTTCGGTCCAAGGACAGGTAAGTGTCATGATCCACATTTTTTCCTAAACGAAACTGGTTAAAATGACAGCACTGTGATATTCCGAAGACAATATTCTGGGACATGAAGATACAAGATGTGTATTTTGTGTAACTTTCTGATTTCACAAACATTTTTGTGCAATATAACAATGCTATATATAGAGGTTACAACTAACAAATTGGGATATCTTGATAATGATTCTAAAACCACATTAATGTACAAGCTATTTCGATAGACCATTCTCCGAGTATATCCCCTATTCCTATCTAACCGCTGTATGCTTCAGTTTCATTACTTGGCTCTACTATATGTAATTCTATTTATATTTAATGTTTACCCTGAACGTTATACGATATCGAGATTTGAAATATTTCATACCATACAATGAAAGGCCAAGGAAGTGCGAACGCCGTTTAGTTCCGTTTCTGAAAAGCAAACCCTTGACTAAGCGGCGATTGCCTCGATACGTGACGTCACATGTTCCAAGCTGTCAAAACAGCCCTTTAGAAATGTTCTAGGAAGCTGCCATCATGCGTTCGATAAACGAGCTTTTCAGCTACCTATGTGATATATTCCGTTTACAGTTACTTCAATAGGTTTTATTTATTTTCTTTACAGAAATACACTTTTTACAACTTCAGCTGTGAAATTATTCCCTTTTGAGTTGACAAACGACGTACTGTGTGCAGGTGTCTGAACACATGCGGATGTTGTCTAAATTTATCTGTGTTTTAATGATCCATGAATTTAGTAACTGAATACATGCATGATACTTTTTTATTATCTAATTGGTCTCTGGAAATGATGACAAGCCCTTAATTTATACAACACAAACCGCTAACCGGTTTTTTTTCTTAGTATATATGATTTATCATCTCATATATACGCACTGTAGACAAAATTGAATATTTAAATTTAAGGAATGCACAATGACGTCTATTTGTCACAATGATATCAATATATACATAAGTCCTTTATCTTATTTTCAATCAAAAACAGCAGACACTATATAAGTCTTATTTTTATTTTTACTGATACATTCCTTCATCAGTACTCAGAAACTATAAACTACGCTACCGAGTTTCGTTACCTTTGATTTTTTTTTTGTTTCAATTCAACAAAAAAATATTTCGTGTAATTGTAGTAATCCTTGTTAAAACGTCTTTCACTACTTTTTATATTGTTTTTATACCAATTAAATGAATATTTTGATCCAAAGTTTCACTACTTTGAATGTTGCATTCAATTTTTATACAATTTTCTTTAGAAATTCTCATCCTACCATGGACCTTAATTCAAATATCTTCTGTCATGTGCAGTCCTTCATTAAGTCTATACAGATTTTGATTTTAACAATAACTATTAGTGTAGATATATTCATGTTTCCATGATAGTAATTATTTTTTTTATAATTTGTGCCTGATCCCTTGTTCTAAGTTTGACAATAAACAAATTTGAATCGGTCAATGTCTGAATATTCTGGCAAATTTGAAATGACTGTCTACGGTCTACATATTGTTATCGCCAGAATTATCTTATCCATCAAAAATGTAAAGCATTCATTTGCAATCTGTCGTTGCTTAGTACGGCTGTTCTTGATATCTCTTATTCTTTCCATGGCGGCAGCCAACAGTAGTTGAACTTGTGGTATCACAACCGATAGGGTCCAATTCAGCGCGAGAGCAAGAGGTTGTTAAAGAGTTAATATTTAATTGATTCTGTCCGATAGAAATATCATGATATCGGATTCCCAACCTCACACATCTTCCTCAATTAAAGATTCGTTCTTCATCCCATTAATTTACATTATTGGATATACCTTGTTTGATATATGAATATTGTGTCCAATAAGCTTCATACCATATACTGATGTTTATATTTTTTAATGATATATATACTGAAAGGATAAAGAAACGCAGGGTAATACTTATTGCGATATTTTGAAAACGAGTTCTCCAAATAAAGTGAAACTTTGTGGATTGAGTAATTAGGTCATATTACACCTTGTCATGTATCGAAAATTTAGTCACGGTACAGTGCGCAGCTCTGGTAAATGGAGGAAGGAAAAAACAAGAATCTCGTGCACCGTGTTGTTCTGGTCTCATGCAGCGTTGGTCAAGTCACTCTTCGTTAGTCTTTATACAGACCAACTGCTTCCCTAAAATTAATTGAGAATTTGATTCGTTTTAAGAATGGCACGACTCACAGAAGTTCAGAGGAGTCAGGCCATTGAGATACTGATGTAAGGACAGCTGCAAAATCAGGTTGCTAGGCACTTTGGTTTTAATGTTTCCACCATAGAACGTCTTGTAAGACGTCTTCGGGAAACTGGGCGATTGGCCGATCGACCTAGCTCAGGACGTCCGCGCGTAACGTCACGACGTCAGGATCGCTATATCGTCGTCTCTCATGTGCGTAATCGGCGCCTTACTGCCGTTGAGAGTGCACTTACTGTTCGTGGAAATCATGTGCGTCCTATAAGTTCAAAAACTGTAAGGAATCGATAACGAGAAGTTGGTGTAAGAGCACGTCGCCCCTACGTAGGTCCACACCTTACCCCTGCTCGACGTCAGCGTCGTATGGCCTGGGTCGCTGCACATGTACCACGACGGTTTCCACTGAGGCAGTGGAGACAAGTTTTCTTCACGGACGAGTCTCGATTCTGTCTTTATCGATCTGACGGCCGTCAACGTTTCTACCGACGTCGTGGCGAACGTGTTACGGACGCTTGCGTTGTAGAGAGGGATAGGTTTGGGGGCGGTTCAGTAATGGTGTGGGGAGGAATCTCACACGATTGGTTGTTATTGGTGGCAATTTAACAGCAGCTAAGTATAGAGATGAGATCCTCCGACCCCATGTTATCCCTTTCTTACAGCCCTGATTTGTCTCCGATCGAGCGTCTTTGGGACCAGTTGGATAGACAGGTTCGAAAGCGCCAGCCACCCCCTACTACTCGAGAGCAGTTGACCAGAGCTCTGATTGAAGAGTGGGACAACATCCCCATAAGACGGATTAACGCTCTCATGAACTCTATGACCAGAAGAATAAGGGCCGTGACCACAGCAAACGGCGGACACACAAGACATTGATGACTCGGTTCAATTTCAATTTCAAAATCCTATTGGTCCATTCAATTTAATCGTTAGTACATCTAAACCAATTGTCAGATGCAAAATACAGACTTTGGAAATTTTTAAGCTTCATTTATCTGTAAGTATACAAAATTTCGTTTTAAATGAAGCCCGATATCATACTTAATTTCTGGTTTAAAGTTCACCCTGCGTTTCTTTATCCTTTCAGTATATATAGATATCGGACAATCCTGCCACGAGCATTTAGCAACATCATCTGGTATACAGCTTTGGTGAATATTAGATATGACAAGATACCAGTAATATAGCTTTAATTTATCTATTTATTTATTTATTGATTTATTCTTGACTTTCTCTAATTTATAGCACCACCAACAACAACGCAACCTACATCATCTACAACCACAACAACACCGCAACCGACGACGACAACCACTACAACACCGCAACCGACGACGACAACCACTACAACACCGCAACCGACGACGACAACAACACCGCAACCGACGACGACAACCACTACAACACCGCAACCGACGACGACAACCACTACAACACAGCAACCGACGACGACAACCACTACAACACCGCAACCGACGACGACAACCACTACAACACCGCAACTGACGACTACAACCACAACAACACCGCAACCAACGACGACGACAACAACAATGCCGACGACTACACAACAAAATTGTATTCCATGCTCTTGCTACACAAACACGACGCACAACAAGACAGTCGAGGAGTTTCGTGAGGAAGTGAGAAAGACATTGCTTGTCGATACATCGACATTGTCATCCTCTATCAGAAAAAAAACAAGTGCTTCAGATCCACGCCCATCAGCTGCAGCAGTCGGATACCTCGGCGTCGTTCTTATGACGGTCGTGTTTGGCGGTATACTCCTAATGGACGCTGGCAATATCATTCGTTGCGGTAAAGCGATCGTAAAGTTAACAAAAAAGTTGCTGGCATGAAGTGTTCGTTAGGATGTTCTAGATGATCACATTAAAGTGCATATACAGAATAAGACTTTTCTGTTAGACTTTTACGGCTGTGTGATTAACAGCTCCGAGATATCAGCATAACGGCTTTGTGTTTTAGTTGTATTACACGGCAGTCGTGTTACAATGACATAAAGTCTGGACAATACTTCTTTGAACGTCACTTGATGTACTCATAAACTTCGATTTGGAGCTTTAAAACTGTATATGTTACCTGTTCTTTAGATTGAAGCATTATCCGATAGAATGCCTGATAGTGTAACACATTGATTTATTGCCTTTATCATATCTGTCATTTCTAATTATAGAAACGTAAACAAAACAAACTTTATTTGTAAATATGTTACGTTCACGTCCATTTAACGTAAAATGTTGTTCCCGACGTAAGGCGTAAAGGCTGTATCCAAACAATCACTTTATATTGGTATTAACACTAAAGAAAATGAAAACTTATCTGGGCATTTGAGTCATTCAAAGCCTGGTAGAGTTGTGATCTGTACTATCCTCCAACAAATGCTCCTTTGAAGCAAAGTCGACAGCAAGATGTGATGAAATGATAACCCGAAACCGTTATAAACCAACGTTTTTCTTTTCGAGCTTGTTATAGTTCTATTAGTTATGAAGTCATTGCGCGCAAATGTCTCGTTCATGTATCATATTGATTGGATGAAAAGATAAATCAGTCAAATTCAAATCAATCAAGTTCGTTTACGGGAAATCATCAATCATAGTTCCTATCTTTGGGTGTGATAGATCTCTTATAGTCTTCTCCGAAGCAGAAGAACGAAACAGAAGAATGTAGTGTGTTAGAAAGACCAGAAACGAGATATAGCGACATAAATACACCTCTTATTTAGATGATATCCCAGTGAAAGAATATGTCATCCAAAACCCAATAGGTTACAACAAATCATTCCTGTACGACAATATTTTGTATTTGGTAAATTCTAGTATACCACTACTGAGGAAACTGATGTTAATATTCCGATATCTTGATGTTAATGGTTTTATTTTAATAGTTTGTTAACGACGATATTACCTTGGAATATGTCGTGGCAACTTTGAAGGCACGCGCGAAGTAATGTGATTGGTCGCAGGTGGAAAATAACTGACCGATCAAAGGCTAATATGCTCCTTTTGAAGATTACAAAGGAGCGACGCCCAACTTTAAAGTCATTGCAATATATGCAATGCGACCTGAGATTTGATGCACATAAATGAATTATACTAGTCTTTTTGCCTTCTTTACAAGGTGGCGCACATGGAACCTTCAGATTGTCCATGACATGATCCAGGGATGCAGAATGCAAAAGTGATTGTAACCCTTGAAATATCTAGGATATTGATGATGATGTAGATGCTCTTATTGACAGCGTTAACATTGGTACTTGATACATGTAACATTTGTAACAGAATATTTTTCAATACTACTGTGTGTCCATTTGTGTTTTTATTATATAACATTTCATAAAGCGAATATCTAGATTACTCAGATAGGTCAGAAATTTCCTGAATATTTGTTTTTTTTCAAATGTATATATTTTATAATTGTTATTACACATTAACCGGTAATAAGTATGTTATATATTACTGTATATGATACAGTGTTTGGAGTGAAACATTTTACAAAAAATAAAACAAATCTGTGTGCAAGGAAAATATTTTGTACATTATTTATAAATTTATCTGTTTCATTTAAATGAATATTAGTGAGAAAATAGATAGAGAATAAAGATGTCTCAGCCTTTAGTTGTAACCGGTCACATCGTCCAGACTATTTACGGTCCGTCACGTCTATCTGAATTATGTTTCAATTTGGATAAAGCCTAACATTGTCATTGATGTATATCCCATGGATATCATTAGTAAGGGTTATATAACACATTTAGAAGTTCTACGAACTAAAGACACATCTAACTAATAAACATTTGTTGCCGATTCACTATTGCACATGGAAGACGCCATCTTGTGTATGTATGACCTTGACCGCGAGCGAGGAAGCAGAAGACCTTAAACATGATTCGAACGGATTAAAAAGAAATTTGATGAATTAATTAATTTATTTTATGAATAAATTTAAGTGATAGGAAAAAACAAACTAATTAAAATCGATATAGAATTTATGCTTAAAGAACTCATCTCTAAATCGCGATCGTAGAGAATCTGCATTATTCTTGTAAACAAGATGGCAACCAATGGATTGTGAGATCACTTAGATTGGACTTTAACAGCGTTTATTGCGACAAGTAAACTTTGTATAATGTTGCTGTTTGGTCAGATCATCTAATTTCGTCAAATTCTACTCAGACTAGTTGTTGTTAGGTCGTTCAGGGCATTAGCATAAAAATGAATTATCAAATAGATACCTATGCAATTCTATAGATCCGTATTTAGTTGAAAAATACCGTTATCATAACATTCCCTCTCTCTACTCATGGTCGTTAAAATGGATACCCGTTGTTTCAATGAGAGTTCAAGTGTCATTTACTTTTGATTACTTTGTTTTTTTATTAAATTTGCCTAAATTCTTCAGTTCAAACGTATGTAAATATCTTATTCTACCTGTACCTATATTAATGTTTACATCGACAATCTTAATCGACAATTTGTATATAATTTTTCAATCGTTTTTTTTTAAATAGATGAGTTATTGATCTTTCCTATTATCTAAAAGGAGCTCATGGCAGTCAACATTTTGTTTAGAGCACGATATTATCGTCAACTACTGCCCTGAGTAGAGCAGTACAGATAGATATATTGGCCAAGGTTTAAATCGTCCTTTGGTCACCGTTTACTGTGAAACACTAACGTTTGGTTATTCAGTCAATACATTAGAAAATTGTTTAAGCGTCTGACGACTTGTACTATCGATTGCGGACTCCAAGTAAATGACACTTGAACTCTCATTGAAACAACTGGTATCCATTTTAACAACCGTGAGTAGAGCGAGGGAATGTTATAATAACGGTATTATGTTACAGTAAACAAACACGAGACGTCATAACAGATCGGACAGGTGTACATGGACAATTGAATTTAAACATTCAATTTCATCAGCATTTGCTTCAGGTAAAATAAGTTATGTTATCTAGAAAATAAATTGAAGACAAAAACATTGCATGCATAATATTAAGACAGATTTTGGCTTAAATATAAACACAGCCTTTTACGAAACACAAAAACAAAAATAAGTCCTAACATTCAATTTCAACTGAAACACTTATAAACGTAATCAGCACAAATCATGAAATATAAAAGCTTATAACATAAAGCTTTCACATTACACAAACTTAATATAAGGCTTATACATGATGTTATATAGATAAAACCACCCTATCACTACACAAAAACTACACACAACATTATACATAATGTTGTACATAACATCACCTTATCACTACACAAAAACTACACACAAACTTATACATAATGTTGTACATAACATCACCTTATCATTACACAAAAACTACACACAACCTTATACATAATGTTGTACATAACATCACCTTATCATTACACAAAAACTACACACAACCTTAAACATAATGTTGTACATAACACCACCTTATCATTACACAAAAACTACACACAACATTATACATAATGTTGTACATAACATCACCTTATCATTACACAAAAACTACACACAACATTACACATAATGTTGTACATAACATCACCGTATCACTACACACAAACTACACACAAAATTATACATAATGTTGTACATAACATCACCTTATCATTACACAAAAACTACACACAACATTATACATAATGTTGTACATAACATCACCTTATCATTACACAAAAACTACACACAACATTATACATAATGTTGTACATAACATCACCTTATCATTACACAAAAACTACACACAACCTTATACATAATGTTGTACATAACATCACCTTATCATTACACAAAAACTACACACAACATTATACATAATGTTGTACATAACATCACCTTATCAATACACAAAAACTACACACAAAATTATACATAATGTTGTACATAACATCACCTTATCATTACACAAAAACTACACACTACATTATACATAATGTTGTACATAACATCACCTTATCAATACACAAAAACTACACACAACATTATACATAATGTTGTACATAACATCACCTTATCATTACACAAAAACTACACACAATGTTGTACATAAAATCACCCTATCATTACACAAAATCTACACAGAGCATTGTAACCCATAAAAATACGCTTCAAGTACACAAAAGCTACAGATAGACTTCTAATACTCATAAAAAATACTCATAAAAACACCGTATCATTACACCCATCCGACAAAAAAATGTTATTGTTCTGCCTATATTATAAACTCTACAAAAACTTCAATATACACAAAATCAACTCCTAATATACAATCTCTGTCAATACGTAACTATACACTCTAACACAAAACACCACAAACCCACCAATATATACAAGTCATAAACCTGACGCCCTACAACAAACATACAATGGAAATTATTAGAAATTTCATTTCCAAATACGAATATCGCTATTGATTACATTCAGTACAAAATGTCTTTATGCAGACCTAGAATTATTTAAAACGAATGAATTAGTATCGACACTATAGATACAATCAACTGAAAAAACACCATCGAAATTTGATGAGTTAAGTGGTAATAATGCTTTCTATTGATGATCTCAGTCAACCCTTTAGTGCAAATATATATACAACACAGACTAAATGTGAATGAAAGCAGGCATATTATTTACGCGTTATTCAGATATGTCTGGTGTAATTTAGTCGAACAATTCGATGATTTAGTAATTAGACAATATGGGAGGGCAGGATGTCGCGTTTATTACGGTCTGTATGGGGCAGTTCTAGGCTACCTGATATCAACACACTTCACTAATTGCATGTAAAACCGTACTCCTGTACAGGTAGCATTTGAGATCAGTATTACAGATATGTAAATACCACTTTGAAATATGCTATCAGTCTCATTATCTGCATTGTTTTGGTAGTAGGCCAGGTTCCACTACCGGAAATGATCGCTGATATCATACATCGCATTGAATGATCAACAGGATTGAAATACAAGGGAAGAAATATAAATTATAGAAGTTGGCAATTACTGATACCGTCAAATTATAGAATCAGACAATTACTGATACCGTCAAATTATAGAATCAGACAATTACTGATACCGTCAAATTATAGAATCAGACAATTACTGATACCGTCAAATTATAGAATCAGACAGTTACTGATACCGTCAAAATTATAGATACAGACAATTACTGATACCGTCAAAATTATAAATTTAGACAATACCTGCCACTGTCAGAAATATACATGAGAACGGTCATTTGACACGGTGAAAATTATAAATCAGGCGGTCACTGTGTTCTGTGAAAATTATAAATCGGGACAGTCACTGTTTTCTGTGAAAATTATAAATCAGGACGGTCACTGAATACTGATACTTTCCATTCCTGTACCGAATTTTTAACAGGTTCTGTCAATATTTCTAATTAAAGCCATGTTAAGCACTTGAAATGACTATACGACACACTATACGGTTACAATTAATAATCAGTGGATTTTCCAATCTTCCAAACTCTGTAGTATAAGATAAAAGGAAGTATGCATCTTTGTATGATAGTATGAAAGGAACCAACTATATACAAAAGTGAAACAGATTCGATCAGCTGATGGATATCATTTTTGTTTGCATCGATAAAAGAGGATGTGGTGTGTTAATACCAGTTGAAAACAGCAATGACACATTGTAAACCTAACATAGTCGGACAGATGATCTTATAACTTTTAATGTTAGAAAGAGAAATCGAACCTCAGCTGTAATGAGAGTAGATGGTCAGTATCACAGTTTACCGAAGCATACATTGTTATAGGTCGGTCGTCCAAAGAAATTGTGATTAGTAGTGGCTGCTGGTTGCGTTACCAGTAAGGAGAACATAGCAAGCTCACCCTGCAAATGATTGTAAAGAGTCTTTGGACATTGTATAATTACCAAGTAGTTCCTAAATTATATTGCTGCCACCCCTCCCCCCGCACCAGCCCCAACTCCTTCAAAACCGTTTTGTTTTGGTTCTTTTCCATCTCTAGGAACTTGATTAAGCCAAACGTCCCCCCTGTTTGCCCAAATATCAAATGTGTATTTCATTAACTGTCTATATTTATGATGTTCCTGTAAAATACTATCTGTAAGGGTATTAATAAATGATCATGCTTGACAGTCATGGGGATAGTCCTAGGATGTAACTTCCCATAACAATTTTACGTCAAGTGTAATAAGAGTCGTCGGTGATTTAAAATCGCTAAATCGAACCTGAGGTAGGAAGGCGTAGTTTGTTTCAACGCGGAAATGACAAGGTCACTACAAAAATAACACTCATATTGCCAGAGTGTAGCAATAAAGAGATTAGGGGTAATTTAAGGAGAATGTCTATAGCACGCGCATGTCTTAAAAATTAATAAATACTTCAGACAATAGACTTTGTATGTGGAAACAAATGACACATTGAAAGAAATAATCATTTCTGAGGGTTCAATAGTCTTGTTCAGGTCTAGTTGACGGAGAATATCCAACTCTTCCACAAATCTGTGAAGGATAGAAGAGTTCCATCGACAAAAACTTTCCAAAAATTCGCATGAACCGAGATACGTGTGAAAGGGGATAAAATGACATCATGGTTGCTAATACTTGGCACTGTCCTACTTCTCGATTCTGTGTGCAATGGTAAGTATCGTTTGATTTCCTTGTTTATGAATGAATACACTGTCATGGCCTCATGATATATGTTCCAAAGATTATCAGTGTAACTGAATTAACATTTCGAACAATATCCTTTTCCTGTATTTAATGAATTGTTGTCTTCTACTCATTGAGTAAATATATTTAGCATCGATAGTTCATTATCTGTATCTGTCCCCAGTTGATCAAAGTTTGAATAGAGTTAACAAATGAACATTTTCACACATAAATTAAACAAAACAGGAAAACATCATTTCATCATTGTACAGCCATAGATTTGTTGATTGAGATCGGAATGGTATTTTTTTAAACTTAACTTTGAAAACCCTTGTTCTCTTAGTGCCAACAGATTGAATGTTCACTAACCTCACAATTATTTCTTCTTCTACACTACTTGTTTCACACCTTAGTATTGAACCAGGTTAATGTACTATAAAGTCGGTCAACATCAGTAAAGATTAAAGTCTTTTCAGTGTTAGATGTGGAGGACCACAAGTAGATTCCGTCCACGCTATTGTACAATGTTAAATAACATTTTCGAAGTTGATATACGGACTTATTGTTATGACAGGCATTTGATAAGTAGAATAGCCGAGATATATTACAAGTTTATTATCTGGTGTGTTTTTCTTCACGAATATATCGCGTGATAATGTAAGTGTTCAGTTATGTACTTAATTTGAAAACGTGCAATGTCTAATAGTAATTACAGAAGACAACAATAACTTCAAGGTTGAAATAAATAGTTGCGACATGTTGGATTGTTATACAGGGAGAAAATGGAGTTCTGTTTATACAAAGGTGTGTATTATTAAGTGCCTAATGTGATTCACAGGTCTGACATCAGAGATGGCTGGAACATAATCATTGATTAACTACACACACGACAAAGTGTAGATGTCGTTACACAATCAGAAGCACTTCACAACAATGAACGCCTCTCACATTACCAGTTGACTCAAAGGAGTTCCGATACTCAGCTGCTGAGGCAAAAACTGAAGAGCCAAGTGTATCTGTAGTCTTTACAAAAGTGTGTTTCTTTTTATAGGCAGGAAAGCAGTTGTATGGACATAATTATCAACACCACACTTTACAGCGACAATCATTTAACAAAGAACACAATTTTTGTTTTCCTCCAACAGAATTTGTTCCATCCGAACTTCAATATATCATTGTACATGTAGGAAGGAACATTAGTGCCAGTGACAACGTAACGAGTCTATGTAAATAGCTCAATAACGTACAGGATTCAAAATACATTTCTAGCACTAGTACCCAGCTTCCAATAGTTCATGCCTGCTGTCTTTGAAAGTCAAATTATGACTACGTTATGAAAGTCAGAGCCTAGCAAGTAAAACATTTTGTCCAGGACTCTTAAGGTCGCTTACGCCTATGTATCCAATTAGACAAAACTTTATGAACCCCTGTTAACATTGTATTAGACAAAACTTAATGAGGCCGTGTTTACATTGCATTAGACAAAACTTAATGAGGCCGTGTTTACATTGCATTAGACAAAACTTAATGAGGCCGTGTTTACATTGCATTAGACAAAACTTAATGAGGCCGTGTTTACATTGCATTAGACAAAACTTTATGAGGCCGTGTTTACATTGCATTAGTCAAAACTTAATGAGGCCGTGTTTACATTGCATTAGACAAAACTTTATGAGGCCGTGTTTACATTGCATCAGACAAAACTTTATGAGGCCGTGTTTACATTGTATGTTTTAAATACTGATTTATTTCTATCGTTGCTTTTTATCAACGTAAAGCGAAGTAAGATTGAGATATGTTCTAAGCTTGCATGCAGTTACCCCAAAGTAAATAAATAACAATCTTCCATAACAATGCTGAACCTTAATAACAGAAGCTTTTCATAAAACATTGAGAAATAAATTGTCAATACCATATCTTTTGAACAGCGACGACCATAATGATATAAATTGCCAGATTATACCGGAACTTGTACATTATGTCAACAAAATAGTTTCATGAGCAAATAATCAGACTGGTGCTTTTTTTTTATTTGCTGTTTGCAAACATGCATATTATGTAACTTTATATCTAGATGTCTTCCTGCAAGTATCTATGTTTCAACCTCGCCAACATTATCAACATGTGCAAATATTGATAAATATTAAACATTGGGGTTTGTAAACTTCAGCTATAGAATATGTAATTCAAGTGTAAGTACTAAAATTGTATTTTTTTTTTATATATATATATATAAATTACGATTTCCTCGTATATCGCGCAGGTGCGGTTCCAGTGTTTGTGAATCCCGACCCCCTGGGAACTACAACACACAGTATTGCTGAGGACACGGCGATAGGGACTACTATATACACAGTTACTGCAACTGACGCCGACAACGACGCCCTAACCTACGGAAAGTTCACCGGAAATGGTTTCAATGTGGAAGCGGATGGCAGTGTGGTCACTACCGCCACCTTCAGTATAGATGTCCAGTCTGTCCACTCCATTACTGTCAGGTCGGTCGATTCAATTTATCATATTTATCTTCATACATCCATGACAGACTGGTCACTATTTACAGTTATGCAAGTCAACAGTAAAGACCTAGTCATCTTGTTCAGCTCTTAGATTGCTCCAGTTTTTCGCAGAAGTATATTGTAATGTTAATACTTATTTTCCCCCATTTTGTTCCAAAAGCGATGGTTAAAAAAGTTACATCTTTTGAAATGTACATTTTTGAAAACTTATTGACATTATGGCAACCAACTCGTAGAATAGGATTTCACTGAGGGTGATTGGGCAAAGAACGTCTTTGCGGATGATTCGGCAATGAACCACACTGCGGGTTATTCGACAATGAATATACGAGCTGACTTTTGATTTTGTTTTAATTTTAAACAATATAAAAGATTAAAAGCAATATCTAACGAGCTTCTTTTCTTTGTTTGAATCTTAATCATTACATTAATAGAAAATTGAAAATAGTACATCTCAGAGGTTAAGAATTTATTAAGGCTGGAGTCCCTCAAGGTTAAACATTAGGGCCTGCTTTATTTTGTATTGATATCAAGGATATTGTCGGCGACACATACAGTAACTCACTGGTACCAATGACATTGCTGTAAGTACCGTTATTGATAACCCAATATAAGCTACAGTAACTTTATATTGGGGCTTTTAATCGATCTATTGAAAAGTTACTTTGATTTCAAAAGCTTAATTTAAAAACTCCATTTAGAGAGTCGCGAAACGTCATTTGAGTGGCTAATGTATTTAGATAAAGTGATAATAAAAAAATCGAATTGCGAAATCTCTCAATTATTCTCTTTTGTCATGTAACAGTTTTTAACGTCTGCTACCGCGAACTTATGGGCTTTGAGCAGACGACAATTTTATACAAATGTATACATTATAGAGAATCACACAAATGGAAAAAATAGGTTAATAAACTTAAACACATAGACCTGGACATAGTATTGCTCGAAACTGAATAACAGTGCCTATTACAACTATATTCCGTCCTTCTTGGACACGACAGTATTGCTAGGATTATGAAATTTTGAAAACTAGGAGGCAACGTAGATAAATTCAAATTGACCGTAATAGATTAAACAAAGGTTTGAATTAAGAAAGAGGGCTTCATTGACCCAATGTTTCCACATATTTCGTATTTTTCAACACTAAAACGTACACAAAACAGGTATGATTTGCAATGTTTATTTGAACACTACTCAACTTAATAATGCATTACACATCACTATGCACAATGAGGCCGTCAGAATTTAACGCACGCGAAATATAATTACATTTCTCAATTGTTAAAAGATATATATACTAGGAAGAAATTCTATACTTCCCATAAACAGCTAGAACTGGGTCGTTTACAAAGCGAAGAATTACAAAGTAGCTAGTTACATAAAGAAGACGGCAGGTGTCCTCAAATTAACAATTTGTTCCAGTATGTACAGGTATTGAAGACCATTATTGTTAGAATAATAATTGTCATTTTCCTGAACAATGAACATATCACTGTATGTCTTACTTAACGTCAGAGACATGATACAATACGTAAGACTACTTCTTTAAAATAATGTCTTTCCTTGAAAATGTTATTTTTTCATTTAGACCGAAGTGATAATTCGAACTATCCATTGTGGTAGTAAATGAAAATAACTTAGATTTAGGCTGAGCTCTTCTTGCAACCATAATTCGAGATACGCTTGAATTTCGGTACTGCATAAATATATTCCTATGTCTATGGACTGACAGGGGGAATTGTGTTGTCCTCTGATAAAAGGAAATGCTGTAGATTATTTGTAATACTGACATCCACCACGTCTGAGAATATTGTATAAGAAAGGACAACAACTTACAGTGTACTTCCCCGTCTAGATGTTGGTATGTCTTCCGACCACTTTAGTCATCAGCCGCCCCTTAGGCTTCCATATTTAGTCCTTTAGTATCACTAATAATTGCTAGAAGGATGAAGCAGTTTAATTCACTGTTTGACCCTACTGCACCTACCTCTAAAGTCTTATAATGTGTTATTCACATGTGTTAATGTGTTATGTGTATGTCTTTTGTACAATAGTTTACACACATTAAGACATTGGCTGCCTTCTTCTCAAAATTCGACATTTGTGCAAACAGATTAATATGAAAACATGACTTCAGTACCAATAATATCAATTCATACAAATCCGAATAATTACCTGCACATTCTATATTATTCAGCTGACCAGGTATTTTTTTGATATTCTACCTACCTATTGCTTATGTCATCTGCAACACCTGTCAATTTTACTCTGTTCTCCAGCTTGTCTTTACTCGGTGGCAGCAAACTGACCTCGCTGAATCTGTCTTTTTCAGACTCTGTTGTATATTTTTTCTGTTATATACATTTGTTTCTGTTGCGCTATGTGTTGATATGGTATGAAATTATGTTTTGTGTGATCGTTATGTATATCGACTTAGTGGCATATCATGTCAGTCTTAGTTGGCGCTTCATCATCCTGTTTGTGAAGTTCGACAGCATAGGACGTGCCGTATGTTTAGCAAAATGAACATCTTTCCAGGAGGCTTTTAGGTCACATGGTGACCCATTGCGATCACCTCGTTGTGCGCGTGCGTCCGTAAACAATCTAATATTTTCGACTCCTCTCAAAACACCTCTGAACCAATTGATATGAAATTTTGCAGAAACCTATCTTGGCATAAGATGAACAAAACATAGTGAAATGTACAGTCCCCACTCCACGGGGGCCTGAGGGGTTGGGGCCAAATTGGGTCATATTGACTCGGCTTCCAGAAATCTTCTTCTCAACACCCATATGTGATAGAATCAAATACTTTTCAATGATGAACGTGTCTTCAGGCGCTTTACCAATACTGTGAATTTCATGGCCCCAGAGTTTCACTTTACCCCTTGGGGAAGGGGTAAAATTTACTATAGTTTACACAAACAAAATGTGTTTGAGCATAATTTGTTTAATTTCCTTTGAAAATATTTCAAACTTGATTAGAATGGTGAGTAAGGGATGACGGCTAGATGACATGCATATATTGATCTCGACTGACCCCCAGTTGATTGGCAGGACCAAAAGGGGTCAAATTGACATAAATTTCGAAAATCTTCTTCTCAACAACCAGGTGTGGTAGAATCAAATGTTCTTCATGAATGGAAGTGTCTTAAGGTGATTATTAATTGCCAAAATGGGTCTCACATTTCTTCCTGGGGAGGAGGTTAACATTACTGTAAAGTTTACAGAAAAAATGCAAGTTATTTATTTCCCACTGGAAACAACTTTGTAAGAATTATTGGTATAGGGTGACAGTTTTGATGGTATGTATGTATTGACAATGGCTTATTATCAACAATGTCACAATTTCTTTTTCATGGCACTTGAAAGGTATTGAAACCTTTATAATCAATAGTGCTTATCTCAGGTGACCGTCAAGGCCGTTATGCCTCATATGATTTTTTTTTTCATTAAAGGAGTAGAGTATTATTGATTTGATATGTTATTATGTGGGTCATTTAAGATGTAAGATTTAATCAGTATTATTGTTCTGATGTAGAACAGTTGTTTCTACCATTTAATGTAGTGTGCAACATTTTACCAGCCAACCATGGCTATATACCTGAAGATAGTTGATGTGATGAAAACCAATCAAACTTTTCAGAAGCATGAGCAATCCCTGTCTAATTTCAATTTTTTCATTGATGAAATATATCATACTGATTATATGAAACTATACCTGGAGCTAATGAATATTCGTTAACTCTAACAGGTGAGATATTAATTGAGAAATCTACTGATTACGTATAACAGAAATTAATTGGGTCATTTGTATCTGCCAGATTTACACTACGAGACTGACTCTCAAGGACAACATCACCATCTGATATAAAGTGATACAGGTTATTTACTTATTATTCTATATATCTTGTCAGAACACAAATTGTGAAAATATTTTTTTCGCCAAATTTAGAGAATAGCTCTCAAGGTGTTGATAAAATTGACCTTCTGTTATAGTATAGACATTTCAGACCATCGCAATGCACATACGTAGCTGATGTCAATACCTTAAGTTCATCTTCCATCACCTCTCAGTGATGGTAGTGTCGAATAGTGCGTTACCAAAATTGCAAATGTCATGACGTCAGGGTCAAAATTGTTTCTTTTAGAAATAGTTCAAACTTGGTTAGAACTATTAATATAAGCTGACAATTGGTGAGATATCACATACTTGCCTCGGCTGGTCCCTTGGGGCTGATGGGCGGGGCCACAAATGGACCAGATTGATTGAATTGTCAAAAATGTTCTTCGGTTAATGGTGGAAGATTTTATATAGGAAATTTTAATTTTGAGGGTTATTTATTTTAATTCAAATTGGTAAGAAGTCTGAGCATGGGACAGCATTTAATGTTATTCACAGTTCACATTTGCATTATGTGTACAATGTAGTTACAGTTATCTTATTTTTTTAATTCATTTCTATGACATGTTTCAAGAAGCATTGTGAATCAGGTGACCGTTAAGGCCCTTGGGCCTATTTATGAATTTTTTTTTTTTATTGAGTTCCATGTAACAACTATTATATTTGTATTCCTTTACAGACCCAATCACTTAGAATTATTGTAAGCTAATCACATTTAATGTAAATAGAAAATAGTATGTAAATACTTGTGTTGACGCTGTGGGTTGGTTACAAATGCCGTACTGCCCAGTCCGATGTTTTTGCTTAAACCCATTCCCTGTCTCTCTGTTTTTACATTATGCCTAACCTTCGTTTACTGGTACAGGTTATTCTAACTACGTTCTGTACTGTCGGTTCGGTAAACTGATGTTCATTTCAACTACTCCCTTTCTGTATGTAACTTCATGCCTTCCCAACTGACACAGGGATCTGTTGAATCCCTCAAAGTCATAACCACACTGACATTCGCCATTTGAAATTTCTCTTCCACTGACGGAATCGGTAGATGGAGTCAGGGTGATCTACAACAGAGTCCTGTGTATATGAAACCCTGATAAACTCCCAGCTACCAAGAAGCTGCTCACTGGTTTCTGTATTCCCCTGACATTCGTAGCTGGAACTAAGTCATTCACATATCTCTTCGTATTTACTCTGAATATCGGAAGAGATGAAACCGCATATCCTTCCACAGTCCCATATTTTAAATGTAATATCGATAAATACAACCATTTGGCCTGGTTGGCTTGCTTTAGAGACTTTACCTCGATCTATTAGTACTTTTCTGTGTAATGGTGTTTATTTTTTCTATGTGGTGTAATGTTATGTTGTAATATATTGTATATGTATATTTTTCTAAGAGTTGAAGATGTTGTATGTTCTCCTATTGCTGACTGAGCGATTCTTTTTCACTAGTTAAGATTTTGTGATAATCCATGGACAACCAACTGACCACAGTGTTCATACTTTCAGTGCATCGGACGGGACTTCCATTGTCTACATTTCAATGTTAATATCTCTGACAGCTGCTTCAAGTGCCAACGCAAATAGCCCCGTGTTCTTACCCACTTTATATGCGACCAATATCCAAGAGAACACGGCTTCCGGTAAGTCAATAGAAAATGTCAAAAAGGTGACCATGAAATCAGATGTCGATTAGATCTCGCTGTATTTCACATATATTCAATGTATGTCTCTTGTTTTTACTTAAAAGGAACGAGCGTTCAGGCTTTAACTTGTTCAGACGTAGAAAGTACCACATGTACACTCTCTGTCATGTCTGGGGATGACACAAGCGCGAAATTCATAATATCCGGAAGTGAACTGCAGACGACATCAACAGCAATCGACTATGACTCTATGTCAAGTCAGAATTTTTTGTATACACTGGTAGTAATAGGTGTAGACACGCCCGATTCTCCAAGCACCGCCCAAACCGCCACAGCTACAGTTTACGTTACAGTGACATCAAAGAACGATAATACTCCATCTATCTCCGGTCCATCAACAGCAACGGTAAGCGATATCTTTGCAACATATAAATGTCATCTGCATCTGCTCTTTTAAAAAGTTAACTTTAAAAGGTAAATACAAACATGTCTTATTCATTATTGTTGAAACTCAACACGTGAGATATTCAATATACAATTTTGTAGTAGATATTTGATATAAAAAATCTTATTGTTCCCAATACGTTGACAGGTGTCGGAGGACAGCGCGGCAGGAACAACAGTATGCACCATGACCGCCTCGGACGCAGATGAAGGCAGCGACGGTACCCTGTTCTACAGTATTACTGGTATGTTTGTAAACAGTTCATATTCGTCCTTCTTGTCAATATTCTTGTTTCCCTAGTTTCCTCAGAATAAATGCAACACTGATTGCCCCAATCTAACTCTTATAATGGGTAGTTTATGATGTCACTGTTTCCTGAACATGTATAAAAAGTTTAGAAGATAAATCCCTCGAAAATGTATGACTATTTGTTCAATAGTGTAGCTAAAATTCAAAGTGTGTGCTGACAACAATATTTATTATTATCAAAATCAATTTGTTTCAATGTTCCCAAATTATTGACAACTGTAGTTTTCGAGGAGAAAATCCCCAAAGAATTGGTGAACAATTTTAACCGCTTTGCTGACTATCGTTTACAGGCGGTAATACGGGTGGAGTATTTGGAGTCTCTTCCACCGGGGGGATTGTTCATCTGACGGAAACACTTGATTTCGAAACTACGGCGTCATATGAATTAATAATCGAGGTAACAGATGGTGGAACCAGTGCACTAACAGCGACATCTACCGTCACAATCACAGTGTCGGACGTAAACGATAATTCACCTTCCTGTTCCTCAGCCCCGTATGTTTACTCTGTCAACGAGCAGACGTCTGCAACGCCAGTAAGCTTACTATTTAACTATCGGATGCATTACACATATGATGAAATGTTCGTAAGTTAGTCTAGGTAACTTGGATTGGTCGAAAAAACAAAATGGCCGACATCTTGAAATATGGAAGGTGAAGTGTGTCAGATCTCGTGTTCGCCATTTGTGGTTTTCAGGTTTCGATTGTGGTATCGCCTGAGGTTGACATAGGCTTAGTTGTGTTCAGATGATGCCATCGTTTTATTGCTTTGCTGCTAATTAAGATTTACTTCACGCGTCGGTATTTTTTCGCCATTTTTTCCATAGCACCCTTTACCCTCGTGTTTGATGTTTATCTAACCTTTCATCAGGACTACCAAACTAGTGAAATATCACTTAATTCACGCCCTTGACATTAATTTGTACCGTAAAATAATTCCCTGGCTATGTTATGTTCTATTTAATTCTCATCAAGTCCTAACCACCTGGATTACATGCACTGACCATACTTTATCTAAATCTTACCCCTGGTGCTTGTAGGTGACGGTAACAACCCTAGCGTGCACAGATGGAGACACGGGTACTTCACTTCAATATGCCATTACATCAGGAAACTCAGAAACCTGCTTCGCCATGGACGCTTCCACCGGCGTCTTGACAACAGCGTGTAGTAAGTGTCAGACGAAAATACATTTTTTAATACCTTGGCTTTCCTTTCTTCATAGTTCTCGTTTACATGTACAAAGGAAATTACTTCTAGTAATGTAATTTTGAATATTTCATGTGCAGCTTTGGATTATGACACCGGAAGTCAGAGCTACGCTTTAGTTACCACGGTGACGGATGGTACTTTCACATCAACTGTGACGCTTGCTATAAACGTAGTTCCTGTCAACGAGTTCACCCCCAGCTTCGGATCAAGCTCCACGGTTACCATTGCTGAAAGTACTGATGTTGGCACATCTATACTATCATATGCAGCGTCGGATTCTGATGTGTCTCCACATAATGTAGAAAAATATGAAATCGCTTCCGGTAAATACTTACGTTTTACATATTTTCTTACGATATGACGTAGAAAATAATACGAATGTTATGAATGCAGTTATCTTTCACATTGTTGATGACAAATTAAATATATGTTGCAGTAACGAACAGTGGGTCCAACTTCTTTGCCGTCGATATGACGTCAGGGGATATCTACTTATCTCAAGCTATTGACTTTGAAACAACACAAACTTACGTCATCATAGTGGAGGCAACTGACGGTGACGACCTAACGGTATACATAGATATCAGTGTAGTATAAATAACCGTTAAGAGTTCAAGGTTCAGTTATTGCCATACATGTATATTAGAAAATTGTCACATTTAATTATCCCTCTATATTTATTCCAATGTACGTCGCTTTGTCCTTTTTAATTTACAGGGGACTGGAACAGTTACAGTGAGTATTACTGACGTAAACGACAATACGCCATCTTGTTCTCCAACAGCACACGTGGCCAGCGTATCAGAGACCGCAGGTACACTTTCATGTTTAAAAAAGGGCGGGGGGCGGGGGGGGGGGGGGGGGGAGGGGTGCTTAAAAAAAAACCTTAATTTCGTAAATTTGCCAAATGATGCGTATACTGGTGTTTTAATTCTGCCCGTATAATGTGTGTAGTATTTTCCTGTGAACACGATACGATTTTACGATTTTACTTTCTATGGAAATAGAAATCAATGGTTAAAAAAGGAAAACCGGGACCGGAAGTTTTACTAAAACTTTGTTTTATGAAACCCACAGAAACCTTTATAACATATGTAACATCCGTCGAACCCCGGAAAATAGGCGTCACCAGTGATGTCAGATTATAAATACATATGAACACACAATACATATGAATAATGCTGAAATGCTACACTCGTGACGCAATAGCATGACAATACACCAGATTACATTATAGTGATTGAAGACTTTCAAAAACGCTGAGAATCAGCACAAGGACCAAAATATAGATGTCGCAATGAAAATAAAATTTGACAGAGGGAAATGATTAAAGGTCCCTTACGTCGCACTGTGTAAGACAGGTTACGGTCGGTCACTTTATTGTTCTTATAAACAGTAAATAAATAGTGGCACGGTTCAGAATATACACATGTACTAAACTAAAACTACTACTTTACACCACAGTGTTCTAAAATTATCTGATATATGAAAAATATCACATTTATTTAATTACAGGGCTAGTGCACCTCCCCGTCTAGATTTTGACTTTGTTTTCGATCACTTCCGATTTTCCTGGGTCGCCTCCTTCAAAATGTAGACCCTTGCCATCACTGTCGAGTCCTAAAACAGCGAAAAAGCTGTTATATAGTTTCATTCAATGTTCGACTCAGCTGTATCTAACTCTAAATTTGTATTAAAAGGAGCTATCCACGTGTGTGTCTTTTACAAATCCTTTCTCCTTCAGTGGTTTACCATATAAATTTCTTATAACAACTTGCCTGAAATATTCCTCATTCTTGAAATCCAGTTGGTGGGAGTGACATCAATATATCTACAACCCCAATACGGATTCTCTATAACTAAAACCACGTGCATCTGTAATGACCGATTAGCTCCGTAAGTGGTAAGATTACATGTTGTGACAATACGTACTGGCCGGGACAGTAGTAAGGTGATGTGTCGTTGTTACGGGCTGTTTAAATAGTTCAGTAGGGGCAAAATGGACAGGATGATGCGTTTACCTTTTCATTTTGCTACATTTTAATTAATTCTATTTGTTGCACATGTACCAGATGTTCTTTTGAAATCATCTAGTAATGACATTCATTTATTAATTTATTTCCGAAAATTCCCGCGTTATTTATGAGAATGTATTTCGACAACGGAACATCTCTACAGCTTTACTTCATTACTGTGCTACAAAATCTAGTAGGGTGTTTTTGTGTTAAAATGTGCTTCTCACTTGTGTGTACAGAAAAATGATGGTTGTCAGATTGTTTCTGTTGTGACTAAAGAATTTGAGAAATCATTGTTTTACGTTTAATATGACCATCTGTACTTAAAGAAAGCTGGTACAGTTGTCTTTTTGTATATTGTAGCTTTGAACACGGTTCTTATTGCTGATCTATCCTGTTCTGATGGAGACGCTGGTACATCGCTTGTTTACACTGTCACTTCACAGCCAGTGTCGACACACTTCGACGTGTCCAACACCGCCGGAGTTGCCTCCCTTGTTGTTAATGGTAATTATAGCTTAACAGTTGCCTAAAGTAACAATATTGATGGTTTATCCAAAAACCATATACATATCTCTTTGGAACATCCTTAATTTGTCTTGATTTTTCAGCTAAGCCTCTTTATAAGAACCCATTGTGTTGACTATTTTTCTAAATTTCTATGTGTTTTTAATGTGTCCTGTTTCATCTACCATCCATCCGATGCGTTCGAGTTTCACTTTCTGACAAATAGGTGCACTGGATTACGAGACTACCAGCTATTATGACTTGTCCATCAGCGTCACTGATGGCTCTACCTCCGCAACTGTTATCGTGGCTGTTAACATAGGAAATGTGAACGAGGCTGGCCCAGTTTTTAATCCTAGTAAGTACACACTTTTAAACCTAAATTATTCTGATTATTGAAGGACTGGTCGTCATTTTAACTGCTTATGACAGATCAGGAAACAGACCGAAAACAACAAATTCTATGTGACTACGTTCATTACATTAATCTTATTACAGTTTACAGTTATAAGCCATACTTATGTTATGTGTATAAAACTATTCCATGTCGTTTTATCAATACTGTAAAAACATTAATTTTCGTGTGGCATATATTTTCCTTGCTTTCACTGGTATTCTTAATCCACTAATCCATATAACTAGAAGTGTTAAGATTAATGTAAATAGGTTTATTAATCTACATTTTTCACGATATATCACAGTAATCGAATCTCGGTTATTGCTGCCCGAATCCTGAAAAAATGTTGGTGTATTTCCATACTGCTTAATGATGAAAAAATACCAAATAGACAAGTGCTTTCCTTTTTCTCTCCTTTCTGCTGAATTTAGACTCCATTTATGTATATCCCGAATATCTTTTTCCATCTGGATGTCTAGGTTTCTTGGAAATATTTATAATTCGCTATACGAGTACCTCTAATAGATGTAGACTGTTCATGGTCAGAGACGCATTGTCTTTTGTAGGAATTATAGAGTTCTGTATATGGGTATCTCTTACATGTATCGGTTAATTCGTACTTGGAAACACAGTGTCTTCGTAATCTTCATTTTTTCATATAGAATTATGATATGTGACATTTTCCCGATATAGTTGTTATTGTTACTTATTTACTATTGTCTGCTAGTCACAGGCTAGTGAACTATTCATTACATTTAATAAAATCGTGGGCGTTTTTTTTATTTATCTATTTATTGTAGCTACATATGACGTGACGTTTTCCGAGGCGACATCTATCGGAAGTGTTCTGGCAACCGTGACCGCTACCGACGCAGACACTGATACTATCACCTATTCCTTTGTTACATCGTACAGTGGGTTCACCATAGATTCCTCTATTGGTACCATCTCCTTGGCGACGAGTTTGGACTACGAGACCGCAACATCGCACGTGCTTCTGGTACATGCAGATGATGGTAACCTATCATCCACTGCTACCATTACCATCACTGTGACTGACGTCACTGAAACATCGTCGACAGCTTCGTCATCTTCGTCGTCGTCATCATCTACGACATCCTCATGCGCGTCATCTACGAAATCTTCTTGCGCGTCGATCTTCGAGAGTGTAACTGGAATAGCTGTGTTAGGTGGTGCTGGGGCGGTGGCCTTGATAGGAATCTCAACACTTATAGCAGGAATCGTGAAACTCCGCAGTGCCTCAAGGTAGATAACCATTTAAAGCAACATATTTGATTGGCAAATAATGACAAAGGGATGAGTCAGCAAGTTTTTTCCAACTAATAAATTACTTCTCCCAAAATACAAACTCATTTAGTTTCAGTCAAATGGTGACATTGAGAAAAATGAAAAGTTAGAGATTTGTAATATATAGAAAAAAATTAATACAGATTTTAACGAGAGAGAGGAGGGGTAGGGGGCTTCCTTTTTATTTTCAACTAGTGCTGTGCTACATCAATAATTCATTCGTTGTAAAAGTTCATTACATCCTGTGCCATAGGTAGCTGGCTACAAGTTCAATCCACCCCTTCTTAATATATCGTTACCTATATACCCTCTGCATAGGAAAGGACCAGAAATTCGACCATAAACATTAAAAAAACATTCAGTTGGTGTATAATTAACATCTGAATTAAGATTGTTAATGAAACTAAAACAAGATTTCTAGGAAGCCGTTAAGAGAGATAGAAGTAGGAAAATAAAATGAGTGCGGGAAAGGGGTGGGGCTGTCATGAGAATCAACGAAATCTATCCGATGTTCCAATGAAAATGCTGTGCTGCTTTGACAATTTTCATAGCGTCATAAAATGAAATATTAGCATCACCTTTACAAAGAAGATCAACATTAATGTTACCTTCGTACCATGATAATTCTATTGGAAGATTTGCTCGTAGATGAGCGTATAAAGGGCAAGTACTTAAGTGGTAACAATCTGCACAGGGGTGCCCACATTGACATTCGGCAGAATCGATAATATTTACTCTAAAGGGGTCATGATTAAGAGAACTAGCGCGGTTTCTTAGGCGACAATGTAGGATATTTATTCTTCTAGGTCCAAAGGAGGCAAAATTCTAGTTAAAGCTACTTCCGTAGATTTTTTACATTAACTTCTTTTATTGCACGAGAATTTCTAATACTCTAATACTAATCATTCCAAAGTTTTATAGTTGAAGGGAAAAAAGAGTTTTCTGATATTTGAAGACAAAAATATAGTTCTCTTAAGAAGTGGACATTTCTGAATTTGGTCCAAAATTACCAATATCATCAGGTAATAAGCATGCGAGAAACCAGGTGCCATATTATTGAATATAGAACAAAACAAGGAAAGTTTGGGAGCTTCTCAACAATTAGAGAGTGTCATTCTGACACCAATCAACTCTCAGTACTTTCACTAAGCCCACCATCAGTCAATAATTTGTCCTTCATTTTAAATCGTGAATTATGTTTGTTCCTTGACCGGAGAAAAATTCACGCAATCTTTACATCACAGACACCGTAACAAACGAAAACTTTTTTAAAAATTAAGATATTAATATCAAGGAAATTGGTAGCTGTGATAAATTATTGATATCTTTTTGATCAGATAATACACGCGTAAGTATATAATATTTTATACTGATTGGTAAAAATTCCTATGTATAACTAGTATCTACTTGTTTATGTAATACTTCAGATGCTTCATTAATGTTTTATCATGATGTTGAGAAAAAGTAAATAATTTGTGATTCAGTTTATTAATGTACATGATAATATATCATTATGTATACAGCGCAAATATTGACATACATAACATGAACACAGTACTACTGGACGAAAATAGTTCAAATCATTAGTTTAAAAGATATAAATGAAAAATATATTTATAAAGAAGCAGAAATTAATTCTATGAAAAAAACATATTATTTCTCATTAAAGTGTACTTGCAAAGTCTACTACACAAATAGAAAATTTTACTTAATGAAAATAATTATTTTATTTTTCACATTTAAGTCTAAGTAGAATGACCTAAATGCATAATTTCTTTTAAATTTCTCCCTGCAGTCTGGCGCCCGGGTCCGCTAAGCTGACAAAAGTTGGAAAGGTAATTATCCATACCTAAACATATTGATTCTCCAGGTAGTTGCGCTCAGAAAAAATAAAAACACAAACAGAGTGTGATTACTACGTCATTATTAAGTGCGGATGTACTCTGCTTTAAATTGCTATATTATCGACTCGACAGTGATGTTTTATACTGTATCAATAATTCTGTATAGCCAAACACTGCCTCATTCAGTAAATATACACTTTCTCTATTATACTTCCAAACACTAGTATAAAACACCTTACTAAGCTAAGATAACAACCTACCGACAAGGTTCGAATTTCTCGTTAAGTAGACGGAATTAGTGTTACACTTGTACCTCTGAGGTCCCTGGTTTGATTCCTTTCGGAGGCAAGGAAAAGCTATTTCATTTCTTATCTGTAACTGACAAACAATACTTCATTACCACAAGTGACTTCTAGCATACAACTATCAAAGTAGTTTACATATATGTTATAGGTACATATTTCTATGTTTTTTCCTTTCACATTGCTTTAAGGTACAAGATAAAACCCCAGAGAGACCCCAGGCATGGACGAGTGGGAAATCAAAAGTTGACCCTTGTAAGTGCCGCTTAATGTCAAAAATCGCTGATATTTTGTTAATTATGTGTTAAAGTTGAATGAATCTACTTCTCACTTCTCTATTTTACAGTCACGGGTAGGCCGATGAACACCAGATTGCCGCCTCGCTTCTGATGGACACAGGTGTGTCACCCGTGACACGGCTTTAGCTTCAGTATTCAGTTTCGTTCGCAGCCAATGTGCCAAAATGTTATGTCGGGATGTTTCGCACGTTTTCTTTATTGTTTTACAAATACAATTTTCTTTCCAAATAATACTATTATACATCATTCGTGTGTTGAATGTACTTCTTTTCTCTTGTGAGATGCAGTTTACAAGTTACCAACTTATCAACATCGAATTATCTACAGACTTGATCGAGCAGTCGCCCATTACCTGTTAGATAAATAATGCCTTATCACTGATAACAAAACCATGGTAACACCGTAGACGATTGTTTGAAAACGACGATTTTACCACAACTTACACGAGAGAGAGAGAGAGAGAGAGAGATCAAATCCCAGTTTTACCTTTTTTGCAATTAAGAGATAGCATCAACTTTGCTTAATTTCTGATCGCCATATATGAGTAAATCTAATTGAATTCTCAAAGAGAGGTTGTAACTGTCTTATTAATAGATTTCGATTCTGAATGTATAGGGAGACAAACACAAAAATAGTAACAAAAATCTTCACATGGGTTGCTGCATTTACATTCAGCTATATTACCTTTTGTTCTAAAAACTTCATAATCAAGAGATCTGGCAGGATTTCTCAAACAGAAATGAAGTATGTTTAAATTCCGTAAATCTCATGCCTAAAAGCATCTGTCATGTATTATTTCTGTCTTACTGGTAATTGATTTAAATGTGTTGAGAGAAGGAGAGTTCCTTATAGAAATACCTATGTCATACCATTTTTTTGTTGTTGATGAGAAAAAGAATTTCGCATGCTTAAGAGATAACCTGAAGTTCTAGTGATTGAAAACCACGTGAGAATTAAAAGATTTATGTTAAGATTAAATTTCACATCTCAAACAATCAACGATTTAATTGTTTCGTTATATTTAATGATCTCTATGGAAACAAAATAGAAACAATGTCGTGAAAGTTTCGATATCATGTAAGTTCTCTTTTCAGTTAAAAAAAATGTCAATTGATGATTCGATCCATGCACATTTGGAGTCGAGAACGGAGAGCTTATCACTGTGCTATCGTTGCATTACACATGATGAAGTGAAAATTTTGAAATCTTATTAAGTATGTAGTTTTCTCCATCTATTTAGCATATTTTGTTTGTATTTAATGCAAAACATATGTCAAGAAAAACAAAGATGACAATGATGTGGTCATGAAAAATTCAAATATCTCCATATCAACAAGCTCTGCACCCTACTCTTACACTAAAAACCACCCAAATAATATACATTACACAAGTCTGATGTTTTATTGAGGAAACAAAGTAACTATTCGCTACTTTTATTCTGTAAGTGTACGTTCGACAGATAACGTGTTTTACACTGTAAGATGACGCCTGCAGAATTTGTTTCATATTTTCTATGAGTAATGTATAATCGTTACAAAAGCTCATCTTGGAATCAAACAATGATTACTGGTTAGTCATATATCAGTCAATGAAAAATAAACAAGTTCGTTGTAACATTTTACTGCGTTGCAATGACAAAACCTTGAAAAAATGTGAAAATGTATTAGGTAAGTCCGCTTTTCTCGATATTCCAATCACCAGCAAATTAAAATCGAATTCATCTAGTCCGTGTTGATTATTTACATAATAAGTAGATCTTGATCAAGCGTAAATAGAAAATATCGGAAAAATCAAATTTGCATATTTAAATTACTCATTTAAATATATTGTCACATTTGTACATAGTGACGTTTAAAGGCCCTTTTTTAAAGCAAAGACACGTCCACCATCTTACCTTTGGTGCATTTCTTATATTGGTGTCACGACGTCGACTTTGTGGTTTTGGAGTCATTTGCATACATGGTGCTGTTTCACTTAAAATTCAATGCAACAAATAAAATCAACCTGTTAGGAGGTATTCATGTTTAAAATAACCAACTACGTAGCAATATTTTTGCGAAAAAACTGAAATATGGTGAGATTTTGAAGCTATTATGCTCTGGTGTTGCGGGTCTCTTTCACATACGTTCTATATACGTTACCTGTCCCGTGATACCTAATGATAGCATGTGAAAATAATGAAATAAAATCAGCTAAACGGAGGTGAAGACCTAAAATCATTACCACAATTTACAAATTACAATGCCCGACATTAGCTCTCTGTCTGATTTCATTGGTATTCTGCAATGAGTGATACCTAACGATAGCATGTAAAAACAATGAAATAAAATCAGTTAAACGGAGGTGAAGATCGAAATTCATCACCACAATTTACAAATTACAATGCCCGACATTAGCTCTCTGTCTGATTTCATTGCTATTCTAAAATGAGTGCATTTGAAATGAATAGATTTGAAACACCGCGATTAAGATTTGTCCTGTTGTATATATACAGAATACAAGAGCGTGCTACACACGTCTTCAAAAAAGAAGCAAATGTGATTTTCCTGTGAAGCATGGGTTGTCACATGAACAAAGATCTCTGAAAGAGTGTTCCGCTAGTGTCCATTCGTAATCGCTTCTATAAATGCGGTTGTTCAGTACTGTATACTGAGGTTTTGTACACTGTTAGGGTTTCTTGTGAGCACAAGTTAACCGTGTCTTTATTTTATGGTTTTATGAATGAATTTCCGTCATTGTCTGTGCAAAAAAGTTTATCTATATGAAAATGCTTGATTACAAAAGGTTCTGTCTTTAATTCGTTTATTTAACTTTATATCATTTGTTGTAAATTGCATCATGTCGATATAATGTATGACCTAGGGCCCCTTAGTATGAATGTCAAGGTTATATAACTCAGATTGGTCGATCATGACAGGTACTTGTTCACAGCTAATACAAAAAGACTTCTCGAACAGTGGAGGAAAGTCGGTATGTATCCAGTTTCGAATAAAAAAATGCAATTCATATCAAATGATTTTATGTGGAGAGAGAGAGAGAGAATTACATTTTAACGTAACAGAAAAGGACCACATATCCCTAACCTACAAAACAGCACACTATATGCCGAACATTATTATTGCAATTGCAGGAGTTTCCAAATTTCTTGTCAACCTAGATCCAAGAAAGCTACAAGCTCTGACAAAATAACAATAAGAGGCCTAATGGGCCTGTGCCGCTCACCTGGTGTTCAATATTCATCAAAAATATTATCAATGTTCATCACAAATATATAAACACGTACACCATTAAATTATTTTTTGCGAGTGTCGTTAAAGTTAATGATTCATATGCAAACGCGTTGTGGCAATTACTGGGCTAAACCCAAATTAAACCGACGAGTTACATGATAGTGCTAATGACACTGTCCTACTTGATAGTTTTGGAGATGTGGTAAAATGTCATCTCAATGTTCAAGGTATTTTCAGAATTATAAAAAGTCCTGCATTAAGGAGTTATCCGGCCATTCTGTTTTGCCTTTTTATGCCCCCGCCATTTATGGCCGGGGGCATATAGCGTTGCCCATGTCCGTCCGTCCCGTCACGTCGCGTACCAAATCAGTATATACCACCTAACAACTTCATTCGGACCTTTCACTATCATTTCACATGGGGGGGGGGGGGGGGGGCATTCATGTCTTACAGACATTTTCTAGTATTGTATATTTCCCAGCTGTAATCGAAATATCGCCAGTGACATACACATAAAATACACCACTTTCCACATGTTCTATACGTTTACTTGTCGTCAATAGTCACATATCTTTAGATCGAACAAGGCAATGAAAAGCGCCATACCTTTCCACCAGAAATCTTTTTACAGGTTCCGACAAATTTGACTCCTGTGACCATGTATGTAGTTCGAGGTCATTTCTTTTTGCAAACTTTATCGGGACTTAAACTAGGAACATATCAGCCATATATACTATGCTACTCTGATTTTTGGTTAGTCAGAAGAACTTGTTTAAATGTTTTGATGAACTTGACCCCTGTGACCTGAGGTTAACTCCCACTCGGATGCCTACCTGTAAGAACATAGACTGTGCGTTATAAAAATTAACACGAAAACCAGGAAAATGCGTATTTCCCTTCCTTAGGGAACTACATTGTTCTCCATTGATGTTTAAACTATTTTCTTTATCTGCAGTGTTTTTCGTAGTACCGCATGGCACTCCATGTTTCCGTGAGCGCTATTCATTTAGCATATTCATAGTTCTGACAGTTCATTTCATTTCTAAACGTAACATTTTTTTTCAATCTCCGTTTATCTTTCCTTGTCTCATGGCAGTTAATGTTTATCTGACGAGTGACACTATTAGTTATGTAAATAGACATTCCCCGTCAGTATTTCTGGTCTAGATTTAATCTCAAAGTATAACATTATGTGAGCAGTTAAATGACTGGAGACAGGTTAGGAGATATATTTAAGGTTTTCCTCATAACCTCACATGAACTTTCTGGTATGTCAATAGTACACAATAATAGAATTGGACTAACTTTTTCGATTTGTATTCAAATGATTTCTCCATCCAAAAACTCATCTCTTTGAACACATCATGTTTCAAGGAGTTAGAGTAATAAACTAATATTCCTACCATAGAGTTTTTTAAACACTCCGAGTCAAGAGAATTTTGCAAAAATTTAGCAACCAAGCATTATTATAATTAATTTTCATTTTTTCATCTCCCTTTGCATCTCATTTATCTTATTTCCTTCTATACGCCCGTGCATTATTCACACGTAGAGAAAATCATTGTATACACAATCATTCATCCACGTGACTCCACAGTCAATTTTATTTTCTCTGAAAAAATAACGTAACAACTCTTTCCCTTCCTCGATCTGTTCACCAACGCGCTCATCTACAAATATGATAGCATACCACTTGCATACACACATTTATTCTCCACACACATACATGTACACACCCTCTATCACTTGCTGACATTCATGCTTGTCTGTCAACTCTTGCATGCACATCCTTCCTCCACTACGAACCTCTTTAGATTTACACCTGCACATAACAACACAAAAATATGCCTGTAATGCAGTCAACTCAATTTGGCAAAAACAAACCATTATACATACACGTATCAGATAAATTGCTATCTTTCCTAATGGGGATTCCATAAAATCTAACAAAGTTAATTCGGATGAGAAAACATAATCATCTAAATGTGTTTTACTAAGGCACAAAATGTTGAATTAATTTGAGATAAAGTCAACTTGGCATAATCCAATTAATTTTGTATACTTCTAATATTGTTAAAAATAACCAATTCAATTCATCCCTATCGCTACAAGCAGGGACCTTAATAAATATATCTTTGTAGACATCTGCTACAGGCCATGATGAAAGACGATAATTTACCTTTCTTGCAAAAAGTAAATATATATAATATTTTACTGAGAGAAAAAATACGACAGACTAACGGTAGACGGGCCAGTCTCGAGAGTGATGTGTCTATGTCAGTAAAACGTTTGCAAGTGATGACGATTAAAGCTTTTCCATGCCCTTGATGCTCAAGAGCGTTTCGTTGGTGGACTTCCGGCTGCCTGACAACTTTAGCAACTCATGTAAAATATTTGGCAAAGACTGCAGAGAGATTTGTTTCATTGCATAAGAGTATTTGATGAAAGTGAATATCTTGCATAGATAATTGGAATAAAGCATGGCTCCCGCAACTAATGATTGTGTATCGTTCACAATCGTCGCGAATATCGCGTGTTCCATATCGATAGTGCTGATAAACAAGTGGCTCTATACGGAATATGGCTTCCCAAATGTCAGTCTCACATGTATACACTTTATCATGACTTCCCTTGGGCTGCTTATTTGCAGAAAACTTAACCTTTTCCAGCCGAAAAGTGTGCCCATCCTGAAAATGATTCCACTGGCTCTGACATTTTGTGGATTTGTTGTGTTCACCAACTTGTCGCTAGAGACGAATTCCGTTGGAACTTACCAGATCATGAAAACTTTGACAACACCATGTATCATGATAATACAGACCATGTTCTACGACAAAACGTTTTCAACGAAAGTTAAACTCACTGTGGTAAAGGATTAATCAAATTTGAAATTCAATTAATATGTGCGAATGACATAACATATAATACTATCATCACAGGTTTACACTGGTTCGACTCTAGATCTTATTAGCAGAGCGAGTACGTGAATAATGTGAAATTATTCACATGCTCGCTCTGCTATTACTTATGGCCAAACGATTTTTCTTGAGGCTGATGTTTCTTAATCCAAAAATTTGACCCAATCACTATATCTATATAGCTACCAGCGAAACAAGTTATTAAACTTATACTATTTATCATTTTTGTTAGTTCAGATGGGAATGTATGAGGGGCCTTACTATAGGAAAAGACTACAGTACTCTGAGATAACCAACTTGGTTGGGCAGGTGAGCCCATACCTTTTCACATCTGTTTTGGGAATCAAATCCCAGACACAGAGGTGAAAAGCAAGTGAATTACCATTGAACCATGTCACCAGACCACCCACCTTTTTGTCATGCTCATCTGACTCCTACACTAGACATTAGACTTTTCCCCAAACAGATAGTTTGTGCTTGTTGACGTCCTTCCATCAAATGTCATACATCTGGTATATAGGTCTCAATGGAAACAATAGCCAGACAGAAACATGAGTACATCATGTATGAATGAGTGTTTGTTCTGAAATAAACTATTTTGAATTTGATTTTGTTATTTAATTTCAGATTCCAATAACTTTGGGAGTTACTTTAAATTCTTTATATGATGTGAAGTTCAACTTCATTGGATTATGCTTTGCAACGGTTGGCGTACTGATTACCTCACTATACCAAGTGGCGAGTAGAATTTTTATACATATTTCGTTGGATAAATCATTGAAAATTGAATTTAAACCAGTGTTCAGATAAAAAAAAACTATGTTGATGGTACACAATGAAAGAAATAATGACCAAATTGCAAGTTTATTTTGAAATATGTCAATTCAGCAATTTTTATGTGACTTTTTGTGGCGAGACCAGACCATCATATCCAAAAGTTTATTGAGTCCAGTAACAGAAATAAATGTGTTTTCAAAATTTTCGTGAGCCCCACAACAAAAGCCTGAATTCAGAACTCAAAAATGTTTAATTCCAAAAGTTGCTGAACACAGTATAGACTCCTGCTCATCTATGAGCAAGTGTTTAGCAAAGAATAGCCAAAGCAACTAAGGTACATTGTTACTATTTTGTGTAATTTTTTTTCTGTAATATGTTTACCATCTCGTCACACTATTTTTGACATCAGTGAATATGTATAAGATTAGAGTACTGCCAAAAAAGTTGGTAAATTCTTTACCATCTTCTACATGTTCACAACATACCAGTGCTTCATACTGGTCATTTGTATAATGAAGGTGACTGTGTAGTCACTTAAACATCACACTGAAATCTTTTACTGGTTTGTTTTTAACTTTGATACTACTGTCATTACTAACCTGAAAAAAATGATATGTAATGACCAATTAATCTACATATAACAAATCATGTTGATTACAATATCATGCGAACATTTTTAGTCTGTAGATACAAATGTAAAAACATGTTTGAGTTGCTGTAGTTTGTGATGATCTTGTGTCCTAACAAACAGCTGTTATTCTTGTTGCTTACAGTGGGTTGCGGAGAAACAACATGAATTCCAGATGAACTCGATGCAGTTACTGTATTACCAGGCTCCTCTGTCAGCAGCTCTCCTTATTTTGATTGTTCCCATCTTTGAAGCACCAATATATAGCTTCCATGGAGCCCTTGGCTCCTATCCTACAAATGTTGTAGTGAGTTGAATGGAATTGAATGGAGACAAAGTCTCATGGTAGTCTCATGGTGACGTATTGTGATACCCTTTGTCCAGCGTCATCCGTTGTGCATCTGTAAACATTTTACATTTTTTACTTTTTTGGAAAATTCCCGACCAATTTCAATTAAACTTAAGCAGAAAACTTCCATACATGCATTCCATCAAAACTGTCATCCTAAACTGATAATTCTTATAAAGTTATTCCCAGTGGGAAATGACCAATGCTTTGCTCAAAAATACAATTTTTCTATAAAAGCCTAAAAAAATTCCACCTCAGGAAGAAACACGAGATTCATTTTGGTAATTAAAGCACCTGAAGATGTTTCCATTCCTAAAGAGCATTTTATTATACAATATCTGGGTTTTTGAGAAGAAGAGTTTTTGCCCATCAGCCCTTTGGGGTCAGTCAGGATCAAAATGGGCATACCATCAAGATTTCATCCTTCACTCATAATTCTAACCAAGGCAAAGTTTGTTCAAATGAATGACCTTGGCCCACTTTCAAGGTCACAGGGGTCAAATATGTTAAAATATACAAAGGACTTCATCTCAACAAGCAAAAGTCCATGAGTGCCGATATTGGGTCTGTAGCATGCTGGGAGGAAAGGCTACCAAGTTTGTTCAAATGGACTTTCAAGGTCACAGGGGTGAACTCTTTCCACTGGAAATGAAGCAAATTATGCTCAAAAATCTGGTTTTCCTAAGTAAACCCCATGCACAAATGTGAGACCCTGCGGCCATGAAATTCACAATTTTGGTAAAGCATCATTAGATGCTTCCTTTCATGAAGAGTATTTGATTCTACCATATTTGGGTCTTGAGAAGAAGATATTTGAAATTTAAGTCTATTTAATCCCTTTTGACCCTGCCCCTCAGGCCCCTGTGGGTTGGGGACAGTATAGTTCACAATTTTGGTTCATTTTAGGCCAGGGAATGTTTCTGCAAAATTTCATTAAAAAATGATCTGGGGTTTTTGAAGAAATCAAAAGTGTTTAATTGTTTACTGATGCACAATGATGAATGGTATTAGAATAGGAGACTTTGTCTCAGGTGACCTAAAAATCTTATCAATACCCAAATTTGGAAGGATTAGATACTCTTTGTGACTGGAAGGTTTTGGTTCACATTTTTTTAGTGTAATTTGTTTATTTCTTATTTGCACACATTTTACAGGAAGAAGCATTGTAACTCAGATGACCCTTAATACCCTTGGGCCTTTTGTGCTAGTATATTTTTAGCCTACCATCAACCCTTTTTTAGTGGTCCATCATTCATTATTTTTCTGTATGTCCAATTTTTGGACTGATCATAGAAACAATATGGACTCTTGGCAGTTAGTTTTGAATTTGACATTTGCAGTTTGTTGTCACTTTGTCCTGAGAAGAACTTGATTTGAAATTTCATGTGTAGGTTTCTTGTGGTCTCTAGTTGTGCATGATTAATTTTGAGACTGATTAGATCAAGGGAACTGATTTTTTATCGGTAATAAATGTTATTGCTATGAGTCAGGCAATATTGTGTAGATTGTTTGGAAATTTTGTATCCCAGTTACCTCTGATTAATCATGTTATCATATAATTCATTAACCTGTCAATAAAAAATAATAGTAAGAACAGTGGAAAGATTAGAACATGTATATTACATTAGACCAACAGAGACCAAAAGTTGTGGGTGAGAACACAGAGCTAATTTTGAAGTGAATCTTTTATAAAGGATATGCTAGCATGTATGAGAGCACTAAATTAAGTTCAAGTTTATAAATTAATTATGAATCGTTGAATGACTCAGATGTGTTGCATATCTTTACATGACTTTGTATGTTTCAGCTGTTGGTGTTACTCTCTGGGGTTATAGCATTGTCTGTCAACTTAACCATCTACTGGATTATTGGCAACACATCACCTGTCACGTATCCTTGTTCTTAAGATAACTCAACTATCTTTGACATCAAACCTCACCTGTCTTACACGTCCTTACCCACACATACATATGACACAATCATTACATGTCACGCAACATAGACAGAAATTATAACTTGCACAACACCAGCAGACATTACAACTGGTACAACACAGAAAGACATCACATTTCACACAACACAGACGTCACATTTCCCACAACACAGACAGACATCTTATTTCACACAACACAAACCGACGTCACATTTCACACAACACAGACCGACATCACATTTCACACAACACAGGCAGGCATCACATTTCGCACAACACAGACGTCACATTTTACACAACACAGACCGACATCACATTTTACACAACACAGACCGACATCACATTTTACACAACACAGACAGACATCACATTTTACACAACACAGGGTAGTTGAAATAAGATGAAGATATTACCCTACAGGGTAATAGAAGTAAGATTTAGATGTTACCCTGTAAGGTAGCAGAAGTTAGATCAATATGTTACCATATAGTAGAAGTAAGGTCTATGTGAAGCCATATTAGGTAATAGTAAGATGTAGATGCAACCCTACAGGGTTGTAGAAGTAATATCTGTATGTGACCCTACAGGGTAATAGAAGTAATATCTATATGTTACCCTACAGGGTAGTAGAAGTAATATCTATATGTTACCCTACAGGGTAGTAGAAGTAATATCTATATGTTACCCTACAGGGTAGTAGAAGTAATATCTATATGTTACCCTACAGGGTAATAGAAGTAATATCTATATGTTACCCTACATAGTAGTAGAAGTAATATCTATGATACCCTACAGGGTAGTAGAATATCTATATGTGACCCGATAGGGTAGTAGAAGTAATATCTATATGTTACCCTACAGGGTAATAGAAGTAATATCTATATGTTACCCTACAGGGTAATAGAAGTAATATCTATATGTTACCCTACAGGGTAGTAGAAGTAATATCTATATGTGACCCTACAGGGTAATAGAAGTAATATCTATATGTTACCCTACAGGGTAGTAGAAGTAATATCTATGTTACCCTACAGGGTAGTAGAATATCTATATGTGACCCTATAGGGTAGTAGAAGTAATATCTATATGTTACCCTACAGGGTAGTAGAAGTAATATCTATATGTTACCCTACATGGTAGTAGAAGTAATATCTATATGTTACCCTACATAGTAGTAGAAGTAATATCTATATGTTACCCTACAGGGTAGTAGAAGTAATATCTATATGTTACCCTACAGGGTAGTAGAAGTAATATCTATATGTTACCCTACATGGTAGTAGAAGTAATATCTATATGTGACCCTACAGGGTAGTAGATGTAATATCTATATGTGACCCTATAGGGTAGTAGAAGTAATATCTGTGTGTGACCCTATAGGGTAGTATAAGTTAGAAGATAAGTTACTCTTTAAGGTAGTGGAAGTTAGATCTACCCTACAGGGTTGTAGAAGTTCTGTCTATATATCACCCTACAGTGTAGTAGAACAACTATCTAGAAGTTACCCTGTAAGGTAGTAGAAGAAGGATCTATATGTTACCGTGTAAGGTATTTGAATAAAAAACATTTCCTTGACTCTGACAAGATACAACATGGCTGGCCACCTTAAATTTTGTGTAACTGTTATTCTGGGAGTTATCGTATTTAGTGATCCAGTGTCATTTCTCCAAGTTGTTGGCATAGCAACCACTCTCTCAGGTAAGTCTATATACAAAATGTGCTGTTGTTAATTTAAAGATGACAGCAAACATTTCTCTTATTTGACTAGATACACGTTAAAAAAATGTATCAGGTAAGCTTTTATCAGGAAGATGTTATCAAATTCTTTTATATATTTCAGAATTTTTAATTAATCTTATCAACAAACTAATTTATTTTCTCTATTGTTTTTTTTTCAGGAGTGATAGCTTATACACATTTCAAAATGGGCGAGCAGGCAAAATCAGTCTTACCTCAACAGAGTTCATAAATAGTTATTTTAAGGACACTACTAGAAAATTATTCATACAGCTAAACTGCTGGACAGATTGTGTCAGGGATATCGATGTTGGACAAACAAAAGAGAATATCTGTTTCCTGTTTCTAAATCATCCTAACTTAAAAGTTTAATGATTTGTGTGCTATCAATCAGTAATATAATCCAGAAATCAGAGACAAATTCACCTCGACACAAAATACAGACTGATATCAAATCTATCAAGGAAGATGACAGTCACCATGCTATCTTCAGTTCGGCGATGATGTATATGTCCACATATGCCTGAAAACACTGTGAACTTGCACAAAAAAGGGTGAGATCAGACATTCTGGACTGTTATTTATCTCTTCTGAATATTTATTACTCTGTGTTGCTTTGACAGATATTGACCAAACTCTTTTTTGTTGATTTTCATTTTCTTATTTTAGGTTCCATGACCAAATTTGCATTACATAAGAAGTCAGTGTCAATTGAAAGCAAACATTATTCATTATTGAAATTAAAGAAATCCATCCTACTGGCCCAAATATTTCTCAGGTAGAATCAGGAGACACACATTTTTAGTGGGTTGGGAGTAGGGGTGGGGGGTTAGCTTGTCGATCCGTTGTCATAACCTGATGAAGTGGGATTGACAGTATAGAGTGGAGGGATACAAGCTCAAGGAACATGTTAATTGTACTTCTCTATCTGTGAGGGACATTTTGTTTGTATCATGCTTTCTTTGAGGGACTCCTTGTTTGTACCTTGCTTTCTTTAAAGCATTTTGATTGTTCCCTTGTTTCTGTGAGACCTTCATATTGTACCCTGTCGCTTTTTGTGAGGAAGTCCTTGTTTGTACTTTGCCTTTATGCAAGAGATATCCTGTAAATCATGGGTGGCACCTTGAAGGATCCTCTTCAAAAGTGGCATTTTTTATGTGTCTGGTGTGTAGGGAGGATGAAATCACTCCTTAACATTGGTTTGTGATAATATGTCTACATTCCTTGCAGGCATACTAATATGTACAGAGAAATTGGATATAATTTGGGGACATGTTGTAATATATTTTGACAGATATGTTCATAACTATAGCGTTTGATATGTAAATATAAAGTACATGGCCATGAACAATTTAATTTCATTTATCTTTCGTAATTGATGGCAATAATCAAATCAGAAAAAAATGTTAATGTCACTTTCATTTGAAACATTCTCAACACTCACCATTTTCCTACATTTAATTTGGTATTCATGCATTCATTTGATGACATTATAACAAAGTTTTAGGGTGGCATCTACAGTGCAGTAATGTACTGTAAGGGTTTTGATTGCATGAAATTTTTTACATTATTGTCTTCGTATATATATGCTAGTATTGATTACTTAGAAATAGAAAACAAAAAAATGTTTAGATTTTTTGTACTGAACTGTGAGTGTTTAGTTTTGTAGGAAACTTCTATACAATTTTGTTACTGAACTGTGAGTGCTAAGTTGTGTGGGAAACATCTATAGAATTTTATGTTACTGAACTGTGAGTGTTTAGTTGTGTGGGAAACATCTATAGAATTTTATGTTACTGAACTGTGAGTGTTTAGTTTTGTAGGAAACTTCTATACAATTTTGTTACTGAACTGTGAGTGCTAAGTTGTGTGGGAAACATCTGTAGAATTTTATGTTACTGAACTGTGAGTGTTTAGTTTTGTAGGAAACATCTATAGAATTTTATGTTACTGAACTGTGAGTGTTTAGTTTTGTAGGAAACTTCTATAGAATTTTTTGTACTGAACTGTGAGTGTTTAGTTTTGTAGGAAACATCTATAGAATTTTATGTTACTGAACTGTGAGTGTTTAGTTTTGTAGGAAACATCTATAGAATTTTATGTTACTGAACTGTGAGTGTTTAGTTTTGTAGGAAACATCTATAGAATTTTATGTTACTGAACTGTGAGTGTTTAGTTTTGTAGGAAACATCTGTAGAATTTTATGTTACTGAACTGTGAGTGTTTAGTTTTGTAGGAAACATCTATAGAATTTTATGTTACTGAACTGTGAGTGTTTAGTTTTGTAGGAAACATCTATAGAATTTTATGTTACTGAACTGTGAGTGTTTAGTTTTGTAGGAAACTTCTATACAATTTTGTTACTGAACTGTGAGTGCTTAGTTGTGTAGAAAACATCTATAGAATTTTATGTTACTGAACTGTGAGTGTTTAGTTTTGTAGGAAACATCTGTAGAATTTTATGTTACTGAACTGTGAGTGCTTAGTTTTGTAGGAAACATCTATAGAATTTTATGTTACTGAACTGTGAGTGTTTAGTTTTGTAGGAAACTTCTATACAATTTTGTTACTGAACTGTGAGTGTTTAGTTGTGTAGAAAACATCTATAGAATTTTATGTTACTGAACTGTGAGTGTTTAGTTTTGTAGGAAACATCTATAGAATTTTATGTTACTGAACTGTGAGTGCTAAGTTGTGTGGGAAACATCTATAGAATTTTATGTTACTAAACTGTGAGTGCTAAGTTGTGTGGGAAACATCTATAGAATTTTATGTTACTAACCTGTGAGTGCTAAGTTGTGTGGGAAACATCTATAGAATTTTATGTTACTGAACTGTGAGTGCTTAGTTGTGTGGGAAACATCTATAGAATTTTATGTTACTAAACTGCGAGGGTTTAGTTGTGTAGGAACCATCTACAATTTTTGGTTACTGAACTGTGAGTGCTTAGTTTTGTAGGAAACAGCTACATGATTTTATTTGTTGCATTTGAAGTGGAACAGTCGCCTTCATTTTGCTATTTATATATACATTGTCCTTATTGTACAACATACTTTACTGTAAGGAGGACCCGTCTTCATACTGGTATGACCCTGGCTGCTGTAAAGATGTTTAAACTATCAACAAACACTGAAGGATATCCAAAAACTGAGAAACAGATGATCAATGCTGATGTAGTTGTGTACCAGTCACTTTACCCCCAATTGCTCTGGATGGCACGCAGCATGCTTTCTATATGTTGTTCAGTCCTGTAATCACCATGTATTTCAAGGAGATCCAGTCCATTTTAAAATTACTCTTCCTGTTGAAGGGACTATTTATCTAAAGGCAAGCTAATAAACATTAATATACAAATGAACATTTGGTTTTGTAAACATGTAAACATACATGGTTAAGTGACTTTACTTTATCAAGAAACAAAAAACTTCACAACAGTTGTAGAAATATAGATATAAACATTTCAACAAGTTTTCTGTCATTACAAATTTTAACCGTCACAACTTGAACTATACTAGTCAAGGTATAAAGGAATTTCTATAAACGTGACCAGACAGATCATAACATAGGATTAATGAAATAATCTGTTATTCATAGCTACCCTGGAATTTGTTCATCAACCTTTCTACATGTATAGTTTCATTTGATTAAAATATAGAGTTACATGTTCTCATTTCTTCATCCCATCTTACCCGTAGTGGTTGTGCATAATTATGTATCTGAAATAGTGGTATTTGTAAATGTTTTGAAGCCTTACACACTTATCAAAGATATGTTAGTCCCTCAATGATATCCAATTTTCATGAAATTTGCACACTTTACTACCAGTGTAACATTGTATATACATGTATGAAAGAGTATTCATATTGTTTTCAATGCTGGGCCATTATTTGCTTTAATGTCAGGGGGTCTAACATTCACAACAAGGTCATATAAAAGAATAAAAAACATATAGTTTATATTTGAAAACATTTGTGTATGTACAGAAATAAGAGTGCTAACTTAAAATGAAGAATTTTTTTTTTTTTCTGTTTTTTTTTTTAATGTTTTTTTTTCTGCTGGTTCATTGGATTTTGGTTGACAACAGGTAAACTTTTGATGAAAAATTCTTTGTATTGTTTTTACAATGTAAGAAGAAAACCTGGCAAAATTCTCATTATACGTGTTATTGATAACTGCTTTGTATAATGTTCTCCAAATGTGTCATGTGACTAGCTTTAATGTTTTATCATAAAAAAAAACGTAACACAATATTGCACAGCTATTTCCTCTAAACGGGAGATTACTGAAGCAGTGTAGAGAATTTAGAATCAATACTTTATACCAGTAAACTGCAGGCAGTTAATCAGTGAACTAGACCTTTTGGTTCTGTAGAGCTTGTCTGAACACTTTACAGATTTGACCACTGTGATATGTCTACAAACTATAGGATATATATGTATATAATGCTTTATGGCTATTTAACCTTATAAATATCAAACCAAAATGAATTTAGTAGTAGTAATTAATTGAAGTGTTTTGCCATCTAACTCATTTTTTTGTTGGGTTTAATAATACTGTGGCTTCAAATATGTGGATATACATACAAAGACAATATGTACTATGTTTGTTATGAAAATAAAATACAAGAAAAATCATAATTTTAATTTTGTATTTTTTGAACGCTACCCATGCATGATTTCTTGCTTCAGAAGTACAATGTAATAAAAAAAATCCCAATATCAATTTTCCATGACCCCTAATTGATGAGTGCAGTGCCAGCATATAGTGTTACTAGGATTGAAGTCCATCCTGTTCTATTAAATTTTGATAATGTCCCTCTTGTGATGCTATTTCTTTTGAGGCAACAATAATAATTTTAAGCAAATATATTGGATGTGTTTGCAGTTACAAGACGAAATTCATAATCATCTGTAGCATAGGATAAAGTTTGAAGTTTCAAAATGATTCTGTTCCAATATTTGTGTGACCAGACTCATTATCTCTGGATTATCGTTGTCACTACAGTAATGTAGATACATAGATGGAAACATGTATATGTATACCATGATTATAACCATGGTCTGTATAATGGAGACCACAATGGCCAATGAGTTAAGGCATTGGACTGTCCCTACCACTAGCCCTCCACCAATAGGTAATTCATGGAGTAGTCACCAGGTAATGGCCGTAGGTTGATGGTACTTCTCCAGAAACTGATTTCCTCCACCAACAAAACCTGACATTTCTTTAAATGACCTGGGCTATTAAGAGGGTATGAAGCAACAATATACAATAATAAACTGTATAAATAAACCAATACCGTATTTATCCTGTAATAAACCCAGGTTATTAGAGACGTGATATCTTGTTACAAGGTAATACAGGTATTTCTTGTTGGATGGACATGATAGTTACATATTTTGTAAACATAATAAACAATTGAAGTCAAGATATGATATATTTCTCATATGAAAAACATTTGAGCAGAAACAGGCAGCCAAGGAAATAGAACAAAAAATCATTTATATATATTATAAAACAATGAGAGTACTGACACCTGTCAGGAAGGGCCCCATTCTGTGTCAGAATTTTAATCTGAGTGTTATAATGATAATGATTTTTGTTTTATCATTTATTGGCACAATAATTTGCCTTTGAAATATAAATGTATATTTCAAATTTCATTAACGCTGCCTGTGAAGTATCCTTGATACTCCAGGGGTTACAATCACTTTCGCTCTCTGCACCCCTGGAATATGCCATGGCAAAATTGAAGGCACAATGGAAGTAATTAGATAGGTTACGGGGAAAACAAACTGACCAGTCACAGGCTGATACGGTCCTTTTGCAGATAACAAAGGAGAGACACCCATCTTAAAAGCCATTACCATATACTATTATGTGACCTCAAACTAGTTTTTGTACGCCGCCGGAGGCGGTCGTATATTGGCGTCATCTTCTCTGTCTGTCCGTACGTCCGTCTATTTCTTGTGAACGCAATTCCTCCTAAACTAATCATCAGATTTTCATGAAACTTGCTCCATGTCACTACTACAATGGGTAGATGTGCATGAAGGGGCAATTTTTTGGTTCGTTGATTTTTGTAAGGTTTATGCCATTTTCAACTTTGTATCTGTAGCGTGCTCTTAGTGAAGCTTTGTGAATGCAACTCCTCTTAAACTAATAATCAGATTTTCATAAAACTTGCTCAATGTCACTAATACAATGGTTCTATGTGCATGAAGGGGCAATTTTATGGTTCATTGATTTTTGTAAGATTTATGCCATTTTATCTTGATCTTTATATTTTGTGGCGGCGTTTATTGTGTCCACGGCACTTTTGTTTCCGCTTATCCACGAGGTGTAGCACAAGGAAACTTTTGCCATGAAATGTTCCAGGGGTGCAGAGAGCAAGCGATTATCGGAGTATCGAGGATGTCTGTGGAGAAGCAATGAAGAAAGCCTGAGTACCATCATCTAAACAGAACTGAAGAAATTTTGCAGAAACTGATTTTCTATTTATAGAAACAATAACCTTTATCTTTGACTTCAGGACCTGGAAATCACACACATGCACTTTCCTTTTGAAAAGCATTGGAAAAGTTTGAGTACAAATGGCTTAAAGAACTTGGTTATTTTTGCAGAAACAAAAACAAAAACTGGACCAACTGCCTGAATAATAAAGGGTTTCCACATCTTCCAGAATAAAATGAGACACAACTTCAAAAAATTTTAAGTGATTGACCTAAAATTCAAAGCAAGTACATAAACCCAAGTATTTCCTCCTGAGCAGCAATTGACTGATCAGTTCCACAGCTGATAATTGCAATACTCTGCATTATTATACATATGTACAGAGTGTAACTAACAAATTGGTCCATCACCAGTAGTCTAAAGGGTGTAGTTGATATATTAACCCAAGGTCACAGTCATTTTTACATCAAATTTCTGTATTTCATTTATATATCACAATTATATCCACCACTAGATGTGTCTTGTGTTTTTATCAATATGACTAGATGTGTCTTGTGGCATTATCAAAACAACTAGATGTGTCTCTAATGGATTACACTGTATTTTCTCTTACCTTGGACAGGTAAATCCACACTTTTAACCAGTGTGAGATTTCCTAGTCCCTTACCCTGGAAAGGTTAAATCCACACTTTTAACCAGTGTGAGATTTCCTAGTCTCTTACCTTGGACAGGTAAATCCACACTTTTAACCAGTGTGAGATTTCCTAGTCCCTTACCCTGGAAAGGTTAAATCCACACTTTTAACCAGTGTGAGATTTCCTAGTCTCTTACCTTGGACAGGTAAATCCACACTTTTAACCAGTGTGAGATTTCCTAGTCCCTTACCCTGGAAAGGTTAAATCCACACTTTTAACCAGTGTGAGATTTCCTAGTCTCTTACCTTGGACAGGTAAATCCACACTTTTAACCAGTGTGAGATTTCCTAGTCCCTTACCCTGGAAAGGTTAAATCCACACTTTTAACCAGTGTGAGATTTCCTAGTCTCTTACCTTGGACAGGTAAATCCACACTTTTAACCAGTGTGAGATTTCCTAGTCCCTTACCCTGGAAAGGTTAAATCCACACTTTTAACCAGTGTGAGATTTCCTAGTCTCTTACCTTGGACAGGTAAATCCACACTTTTAACCAGTGTGAGATTTCCTAGTCCCTTACCCTGGAAAGGTTAAATCCACACTTTAAACCAGTGTTAAATTTCCTCGTCTCTTACCCTGGAGAGGTTAAATCCACACTTTTAACCAGTGTGAGATTTCCTAGTCCCTTACCCTGGAAAGGCTAAATCCACACTTTTAACCAGTGTGAGATTTCCTAGTCTCTTACCTTGGACAGGTAATCCACACTTTTAACTGGTTTGAGATTTCCTTGTCTCTTACCCTGGAGAGGTTAAATCCACACTTTTAACCAGTGTTAGATTTCCTAGTCTCTTACCTTTGACAGGTAAATCCACACTTTTAACCAGTGTGAGATTTCCTAGTCTCTTATCCAGGAAAGGTAAATCCACACTTTTAACCAGTGTTAGATTTCCTAGTCTCTTACCTTGGACAGGTAAATCCACACTTTTAACTGGTTTGAGATTTTCCTTGTCTCTTACCTTGGACAGGTAAATCCACACTTTTAACCAGTGTGAGATTTCCTAGTCTCACCATTGGGTTGAGACAAGCTTCATGTGCTTTATGAAAATAATTCAAGTGATGTCGTGCAAAGTAGAACTACTTTTATAAGGTCATACATATACACTACTTTGTCATCTACTGTGTAATCCTCAAAACTGAAAATCTTGTGTTATCACCAAGATTGAAACTCATCTTGATCCACAACTTATTATCAAAAATTAATAAAATGTATCAAAAGCATAGTTTTATTTGATGTTTTATTGCCATATACAGGTATACTAGAAATATATTCTGTGTAAGATTAAATCACAATGCATGAAGCGTCTGAGGCAGGTGCCTCAACACTATTCACTTACCATCCAGATGTGTTTATTTTCAGACAATACACTTTGTCTAGCACTCGGATAAGTAAAACAGGGCAAGAGAAATGTAATCCCTCACCCCCTTTAGGGCGAGATAGGGGGATATCAGCTCTTAGGGAAAGATCATTAACAACTTATAATCTTCCCTTCAGGTTGAGATCCACCTAATAAAAGGGGATGAAAGATTTTATTAATCCAGGTACATCACTAAATGTGTCTTGTATGGGTTGATCTCCACTTACATTACCAATAGACGTTCAGGTACATCTTTCAATACTAGATGTATCTATTAGAACTACATTATAGTACCTTTTTGAGGTCAAGATGAAATATGAAGTATCAGTGATGTGTTTTACTTATAATCCAACAATTATTATCACTGAGATGGTAGTGAATTTTGTGACAAATCTATTTGAGTTTATCGAGAGAAGAAGAGTTTCCATGTTATACAGGTAATACTCAACTGCAGTCATTTTCTTTTCAGATAACAACTCCACACACTGGTTTTCTGAACAGGTACAACAGTGTCAGAAACAAAGTATTGTTATCAACCAGGGCAACCATGTACTGCAGCCAGAAATTCCTGGTAACATGTCTCACTGGCAACCATGTACTGGAGCTAGAAAACTCCTGGTAACATGTGTCACTGGCAGCCAAGTACTGAAGTCAGAAAACTTCTGGTAACATGTCTTACAGGTAACCATGTACTGTAGCCGGAAAACTCCTGGTAACATGTCTTACAGGTAACCATGTACTGTAGCCGGAAAACTCCTGGTAACATGTCTTACAGGTAACCATGTACTGTAGCCGGAAAACTCCTGGTAACATGTCTTACAGGTAACCATGTACTGTAGCCGGAAAACTCCTGGTAACATTTCTTACAGGTATCCATGTACTGTAGCCGGAAAACTCCTGGTAACATGTCTTACAGGTAACCATGTACTGTAGCCGGAAAACTCCTGGTAACATGTCTTACAGGTAACCATGTACTGTAGCCGGAAAACTCCTGGTAACATGTCTTACAGGTAACCATGTACTGTAGCCGGAAAACTCCTGGTAACATGTCTTACAGGTAACCATGTACTGTAGCCGGAAAACTCCTGGCAACATGTCTTACAGGTAACCATGTACTGTAGCCGGAAAACTCCTGGCAACATGTCTTACAGGTAACCATGTACTGTAGCCGGAAAACTCCTGGCAACATGTCTTACAGGTAACCATGTACTGTAGCCGGAAAACTCCTGGCAACATGTCTTACAGGTAACCATGTACTGTAGCCGGAAAACTCCTGGCAACATGTCTTACAGGTAACCATGTACTGTAGCCGGAAAACTCCTGGCAACATGTCTTACAGGTAACCATGTACTGTAGCCGGAAAACTCCTGGCAACATGTCTTACAGGTAACCATGTACTGTAGCCGGAAAACTCCTGGCAACATGTCTTACAGGTAACCATGTACTGTAGCCGGAAAACTCCTGGCAACATGTCTTACAGGTAACCATGTACTGTAGCCGGAAAACTCCTGGCAACATGTCTTACTGGTAACCATGTACTGTAGCCGGAAAACTCCTGGCAACATGTCTTACTGGTAACCATGTACTGTAGCCGGAAAACTCCTGGTAACATGTCTTACAGGTAACCATGTACTGTAGCCGGAAAACTCCTGGTAACATGTCTTACAGGTAACCATGTACTGTAGCCGGAAAACTCCTGGTAACATGTCTTACAGGTAACCATGTACTGTAGCCGGAAAACTCCTGGTAACATGTCTTACAGGTAACCATGTACTGTAGCCGGAAAACTCCTGGTAACATGTCTTACTGGTAACCATGTACTGTAGCCAGAAAACTCCTGGTAACATGTCTTACTGGTAACCATGTATTGTAGTCAGAAAACTCCTGGTAACATGTCTTACTGGCAACCATGTACTGGAGCCAGAAATGTCTGGTAACATGTCTTACTGGCAACCATGTATTGTAGCCAGTAACCTCCTGGTAACAGGTCTTACTGGCAACCATGTACTGGAGCCAGAAATGTCTGGTAACATGTCTTACTGGCAACTAGCACCTGTACTGAACGGTGAGATCTCTTGGCAAACATGAACTTATTCACTCATGCAGCAGTAAAGATCCTAGAAGTCCTCAGTCATCGTCCACTTCCTCCTCATCACTAAAGTATGTATCCTTTTTGTACTTCTTGCGTTTAGGTTCCTCCACATCATTGAAATTGAGGCTTGTCTCGCCATACCGCCTGGCAACTTCACTTTCCATTTGTTGCCTCTGAAAATAACATACAGTTTAAGGGAATATATTGAATGTGTCAGCCAGAAAGCTATTCTGGATATCTTGAATATCATAAAGAAAGAGGAAAATTTGTTTAATAGAAAGAGTTCATAAGAGGAACAAATGTCAACTTGACAAAAAATGTCAAAACCTTTGATTTTATCGCAACTAACACCTAAAATTGTTTACATCATTGAGAGACTCTGCTCGTTTCCATTGTGAACTTTATAATATCAATAAATATGGTTTGAATCTTAACAGCACGTGTTATATGTGAGTGCTATATTCTTGAATGGTCTCAATAATATTCAGCCAAAGAATACTGGGGTTTGGGATGTTCTGCATATGAAAATTTAATTTTTTCCCCAAAATAGCTCATTCCTGATATGATTTCAAAATTAAGGCAACCTTATGTGTTTGATACTGTAAACATGGAAGGAAACTTTCACTGCATTTTAACTTGTCATCGGTAACATAAAAAAAGTGCTAAAGATGAAATTTAAAGCTGAAACATATTATGTTTTAACTGATTTTATTTTTTGGCAAATTTAAATCAGCATTTTAACATGAGATCAGAAAAAATACATGACAAATGTATCATAGTATACTGTATGTACCTGATAACTGATGGCAGCAGCCAGGCTATCCAGAGCCGGGTCAGGTATATCATCATCCTTGTCCTCATCTTCTTCTTCTTCCTCTTCTTCACTGTTATGACAATGATACACAATAAAATGCAAATTTCAAATTATCTAAGTCATTAAAAAAACTGTTATCTGTTAGAGGAATTATGAAATACATAATAAAGACATCTGAGAATATTTAAGGGTGATTTATAACCATAGCAACAGAAAACAACATATATTTGTATTAAATGCCATTCTGGGTATAAGGTATCCTGCAATATAAATAATAGAAATTAATACCAATTAATTATTTAATAGTAATATTGACTTTGCTTTTTTGGGTTTTTTTTTTGTAGAGTGTGTTTTTAAACGGATTTTTGTCTAAAAAATAAGTCAATGGCCATAGACATTTTAGTTTCTTTTCATTTACCCTTCCTCTTCTTGGTATTTCTTTTTCTTTTTTTCCTTCTTCGGTGGAGGTTGGCGTTCTCCTAATAAATTCTTTGGGCATTTGTAGCTCAAGTGTCCTTCCTCCTGTATTTTGTTACAGAAATCACATATCTTAATATCTATTCCTACCTTTCCAAAACTTTAAATCCTTTCAACAATCACCACATCTATCTCTTTACTAAATGATTACTTCTACAAGAATTCCATCTATACAACAATTACATAGCCCTTATTTTCTGATTTATCATATGTGCATCAATAGTCTCACTGTATTATCAGTAACTTTCATGGAGATCTTTTCACGTTAAAGTTGTGGGTACTAAATAGGTCATAGGTCCATGAAATATTGAACTGACAAAAGTTGTTATGGATTGTAGTATTTGTGAATATTGTGAGTAAGATGTTATTCAGTGAGGTAAAACTCAGCTATTCCTCAAAATCACTCTGGCTGTTCATGGGTTGATGAATCCACCAAAGAATCAAACCCATATGTATTCCACAGAATCCAAACATATTTCACTCATTCAATACATATCCCACCTATCCATGTGCCTCAACCCTTTACAACATGCATTCTATCTGTCTTATATCTATCTCATCTGTCCCCCATGCATTTCAACTTTCCAATTTGCTTTTGAACTTTCTCACATGAATTTCACCTTATCCACAAGTATTCACCTGTCCCATATACATTCCATCAAAACCATACTTAGTTTACCTGTCATTTATCCTTCCTGCCTTTCCAATATGCATTTAGTCATTAATCTCTAACACTCAATGGTAATACAATACTACATACCCCACACTCATAGCATCGTGATTTGTCTGGATAGTCTTTTCTCTTGATAAACTCAGTGGTTCGGCCATTATCTTTAGCAATGGTACAGCGTATTGTACGTCCAAACATGGTTGTGTTGTGAAGAGCATGGCAGGCTTTGTGTGCAGTATCTCTCTCAACAAACAGTATGAAGGCAACACCCTTACTCGCCCTTGTTATCTTGTCCCGCATAATAGTCACCCTGGTAATAAACACATATAATTAATTAAAGAAATGTCTATCATGATAATTCACTACACTTACTGACCAAGGTCAATGCCAGGTGTATTCAGTCAGTAGTGTTACCAGTTGGCCTGCACAACTTGAGGTAAAGAGGAAAAATTAATGTGAAGACACTATTTACTCCTGTTGATTTTTGTTTCTCAAGTAAGCTGAGAAAATGATTCGCATTTTATGTTTTGTGATATAGGGTAAGGCATTTTACCCTAATTGCTTTGGATGGCATGCTGCTGGCCTCCTGTATGTTGTGCAGTGAGGTAGCCACCAGCAACTACAAGGAGACCTCGCCTCAAAATTAAATTACTTTTTGTATTGACAAGGAAGGAAAAAATATGACAAAAGAAATCAGTCAGCGTGCCATCAACCAACTACTGTCAATCTTATTTCATATGTCTGGTTTAGGATTTCAAAAGGTGTACACAATATTACCACATACCTTCTAATTGATAAACTGACAAATTGATATGTAAAAATTTAAATTTTAACAATACATCACAATGATATGTATATATTTATGTATCATAAACAATCTATCAGGAGTTTTAATCAAGACCTGGACTAGAAGGATTGACAATGAAACAGACACATCACAATGACTGATATTTCAATTTCCCCCAGTTTCATCAGTGGGGCGAATATGAAACTATATGAAATAAGGAGTTTCACAACAGAAGACATTCCATACCATGGCAACTATCCTGGACAATTATAAACTTACTTTGCTATTTTCCCATATTTTTCAAAAATCTTGTGAAGATCATTGTTAGTTAGTGAAAATGGGAGATTTCCAACATAAACAGTACTCTTGCTTGGGGCAAGTCCTCCACTCATTCTGATCAGCAATCTTCTCTCTGTTCCACAAGCTCTCTCCCTTTATCTATTGATACATCCAGCTGGTTATAAAGATAACCTTGGGCCTTTTAATGCTCTGTGTTGAAGAAAACAAATATATAAAATGATCTTTCAACAAAGAAATTCATTTTGATTTTCAAAAAATGCACATAAATGTTCATTCACCAAATGATAATAATTTTCAAGAATTGTTCATGTGATAATGTCCATTTAAATAAATGTATGTATAATAAGAATATTTTCAATTCATTATATTATCTTGGTTAATGCATAGTCAGTTAAAAACTTATAATTATACTCATGTAACAACGAGGCCTTGTCTTCTACTCAGTCTATGAGGTTTAATCATCAACGGTGGTCAGAAGTCCACTTTTATGTACTTCCAAATAATGAAGGTTATGCAAATGAGTGTGTGAACAGGTCGAGGGAGAAATTTTTTTAGTTACTACAATGTATATTATTATTCATCTCAAGTTTGTTAACTTCAAATGACCAACATCATACAACAACAAATTAAAAAAAAACAAGTGGTGTTTTTTTTTAAAAAGACATATGTAAGTAAATCTATCTCCCTGTACAAAGATGTATGATATAGAGGATTAAGAAACTAGGCCCAGTAGTGACTTCTTCAATTAGCTATTGTATTTGTTTACTAAGCTGCGAAGTCTCCTCTTCTTACTGTTTATGCCATTTACTTAAAGATTTCCTTCACAATTTGGGCTGAAAGTAGTATACAATATAGGCATTTATTTCAGCTGTTAATATCTTAAACACTATAGCATTATAAAGAGATAATGGCAGTTTATACCTCTGTGTCATACACCCATGCCCTGTAATAAACGGCTAGCGATATAAAATAGGAAGGAGTTATGAAAATCACCCTTTCCCAGCCAGGGTTCGAATTAGTGACCATACAGTCTCAAGCCGGACTCAACATACACGGTAGTATTATTTTCACAAACATGTACAATTTGTTTATATTCCTTGCTGCATAGCGCGTATGTGTATCACAGGAATCGGATGTTATACATGTTAAATATCTCAGTGTGTACTGTTTCTGACTGGTTTGGGTAACTGCTAGCTGTTGGCTAGTTAGCTAGTTAGTAATCTGTCAAAATAAAACCATGAATTTATGTTGAATGACACATTTCACATTGATGTATACCAAGATGTGTGGTGTTACGATAAAATCCTCGACTGCGGATTGTTTACGTTTTCTCACGTTGTGCTGACTTACCGGAAGTACCAGAGTTGTCTCTCCTTTTGCTATTGAGTAATCTAATCACAAGAATCAAACTACGGACGTATAATACAGTCACTGTATTATACGCCCCTGATTGGACGTTATATATGTAAAGCAATGATGATGATGATAATGATATATGATATAATAATGATAATAATACTTCTGCTAATAATATTAATAATAATAAAATACAAAGCCTTAAACAAGCGTAGCATTTTCTACTTTGCGTTTCCTCTATATAATTACTAAACGGACTGAAACAACTTAGTCATAAACGCAGGGGAAAAGATAAAAAAAAATAATGATAACCTCTCGTTGATGCTGATTTAAATCTGAAGCTAGCATTGTTGTTGTTATCACATTACAAGCGATTAACAACGCTTTATTAATGTTATGCACGCAATACCTATATGCACTTTTTTACTGTTAGAGTTACCTCCCTTACTTATTTGATTATATGGAGATAATTGAATTTATATTTAAATAGAGTTTTCTTTGCGATGCGTATGCTGTTTTTGATTTTAAAATGCTTTGGGTATGCTATGGAATATCTTTGTATCGGATGACTGTAATTCACAAGTTACTTTTCTCACCATCTGTGTTGAAGGTTACTTCTTCATCTATACATTGCACTTCTGAAGAGGGATTAATTTGTAACTGATCTTACTGGATCCGAACATCACATGGTCATCAATTAAGTTTCAGTCTCCGAACCATAAGTTAGCATCACACATGACAAGGAACTCAAACCTTCCCATCCGGTGCATGTATTTACGTATAACAAAACATCAGGCACACCACGTACTACAATATAACGATACCATAACATTCATTGACCTGTATTAAAATATCTACTATACTCAATACTGTGAAACAAAAATGAACTTTTCTAATAGAACATCGCCGCATAAAAAAACGACACTGAGGAAATACCAACCTGACAACAGAATTAAAATGTAAACTCAAAATCAATGATTTTAAGATAAAACACGAATAAAAGAAATATTTACACGGAGACAGCTGAAAAAGTCACAATAAGGATAAGACTATATCGGATTTCCTGAAGAGTAAGCGTCTTCAGTATCATCGACGACATGATACGTAAACTGCAAGTATACTACGGCTCAATATCTAAGCATTTAATGATGATAATGGATTGTTTCAAGGAGAATTTTTATCCCTATTTTTGTTTTGTTATACGTAAATGATCGTGAGATGCTCCGTTTATTGTACGCAGATGTCATGGTAATGTTCTCAGAAGTGCCATAGGTCTTACAGGATATGGTCAATTATTTGAAAACGTAAACAAAAATGTGGGATTTGACGCTTGATATCAATAAAACAAAGGTTCTTGTGTTTCTCTGAAATGGTGGTATCTTGAGAAATAATGATATTGGAAATATAGTAGATGTCAATTAGAAATTGTAAATGAATTAAATTACCTCGGCATGTTAAAACGTAGCAAACAATTGCACGTCAGGGACGGAAAGCCTTATTCTCAGGTATAAATCGTAAGAAGTAGTTAAATATAGAAACCCAACTGTCAGTTTTTCTTATACTTACGTCAATAGTATTTTAAGTTATGAATCTGAAATATGGGGTTTCCACATAGCACCTCATTTTGAAAAAAAATCCATACGACGTGAAAGATTATTAGCAGCTTGTAAAAACACATGTACTTGAATACTATGGTTTATTCTTCGCGTATATGTCACTAGTGTAATTTACTCTTATATACCAATTTATACGAACAGATAAGTAAACCTACTTACAATAAGTAAATCACTTCTGGCCATTCTGTCAAAATTAAAGAAAATAAGATCACTGAACCACAAGAATGCTCATCTAATATGAATGTACTGTACACCCACGATTGTGGAATGTTGTGGATTATACTTTTTTTATTTTTTTTTATTTACAGAAACAGATGGATATATTAAACTTTTTCAACAAAATCATCAAATGACATTGTCAAATACCTAATAGGCCTAGTGGGCTGACATCTCTATCTGCCTGCAACAAGAAATTAAACATTATATTAAGGAACACATGTAAAACATACAAGAGCGTATATATTTGCTATAGATGAAATAAATGGACATTTTTGTTGTTAAAACACAATAAACTAAAATAAGCCAATTATGAGAACCACACAAACATAGGGAATCATGGGGATAATCTAAACTCGAAGGGGCCGAGGCATTACATGTACTCCTAAATCATTACATACTGTTAATAATAAGAAAAAGAAGTAAAAAAAAATGTACCTGGTAAGTACATTGAAACATTGAAAATATTTTAATAATATTTTCCAAAGTATTTATTTCTTTAATTAACAGATATAATGGATTTTACTACAGGAAATGCCAACATAACCTTACTCAATACTTACTGATATTTCATATGATGTAATATTCCTTCATAACAAAACAACAGGCCTATGAATGTGTCATATGATTTTAGTAGACGTGATATTTGATAAAGCACGCGAGTTTGAGGGATTCATTTGGAACTAATATTGAGGTTGAGGGACTTAAATGAAAATTTTGATTCAAATAGAGTGATGGTTCTTGTACACTACACTTCTACGTATCAAGATCTATCTCCTATGACATTTCAAGTTGACAAATATTTTAGTTACTTCTAAAGTATGACCGACGGATGGACGGACGGGAGGACAATGCGGCGACTATATGCTCTCCCACTATGGGAGCATAAAAATGTCCCGACTGACCTTTAAACCCTCCGATCATAATCGAAATGGTGCTGCGGTTCCCTGTTAAAACCATACATCTACGGCACCTCTGAACAATATAGAAGAAGCATTGACGTCCACACACTAGGGAGTGAAGGTGTTATATTCTACTGTCGTTGCACATTTAACTTCAACACTGTTTTCCCCCAGGAAATTCGTGAATGCTTTGTACATTGGTGGAAATCTAATTGTATAGTAATATTCACCGGTGTCTTCACCGTCTTCTCCAACATTTCGGGATCAGGGTTCCACATGAGTCTCGGTAAAGCTATTTTTCCTACGTATCTATCCTAAATAAGCAAACTCTAACCAATGTTGCAGGATTTGAGAATAAGTAATGTCAGACATGTCATCTCTAAATCCGTAGTATTTCCAGGTATTATTCAGTAATTACGAACTCAATGTGATCTAAGGTTATATCTTTAGTGTGAACTTGATATAATTGCGTTATATCGCGTCTGATCAATAGCAACACACAAGAATACTTGAGATATAGATAAAACCGCCGTTATTAGCAAGCCGAGATAAAACAACATATCATTGTATTGACAACAATGCATTATACTTGTATATTTTAACAACAGAACTAGAAAAAATTACTAGGACCCATGGTGAGAAAATTGGTGACCACTGTGTCAAAAACTTGCATACGTCCACAGCTCTGATTCAAAGTGGTAGTTTTTCACTTGGCGTGGAATCAGTTAAAATGCATCAGGGATTTACTAGAAATCGTGGTTAAAACAATATACATTGTAATTCATTTTCCGAAATATCTATCAACTACGCTTTCGGCGCGTTAACGGGCAGCTCACTGCTTCCAATTGTAACCAACATATAATGAATTTGAGGAAAAATAACCTTTGGTCAATACCTTGTTAGAGTGCAAGCGAAGACAATGGAAATTACACACGCTGACATCCAACGTACGATGAATTAGGTATACTGTGAAATATATTTTCAATTAAGGGGCTCAAATTTTCGCGATTAAGAAAATGTCTTTTTCACGGGCACTTCATTTTGTTGATTTATAATACTTACGAAATCCACTTAACTAATTATAGTTTATGTTAAATTTTGAAAAGTTTATTGTTTTGTGTACTTACGAAAACAACGCAAAGAAATCGCACGCGAAAATGACTGGTTTTACAGTAGTCAAGAAATGTCTAGAACAGGTTCCGGCTCAAGATAAATACCGTAGATCAATACTGCCTCCAACGACATTAAATGCCAATTTAAGATATCAATATTAGTCTGCCCTTTATTGGACAAGTTCTTGTAAAGATTGATAAGATACAGTCAATTTATTGGTCTAAAAACATGGACCAATACCTCCACTTCTTATCTCACCATCACTTACAATAGAAACTGGGCGTTGTACAGAGGTACAATTATAACAAAACTAGAGCAAATTCGCTTCCATGGCGCCATGGAAACATACATGTATAAATGTCTTGATTGGACAAGCAAGAGGTTAAACCAACAACATCAGGTTCTGTCTAAAACATCTTAAGTATTACTGGCCAATGTGTTATAACATGTACTTGTATCTAGAGGCATTCTTGATTGATATGTTCCTGGTACATGTTAAAATGTTTTACTATGTTATGTCACATTATTCAATATTTCCTATTTAACATCAAAACACAAAGAGAGGGCGGAAAAGCTAGAGGAAAGGGACGAATGAACAATTAAAAGTGAATATGTGAGTTAATCAAATTATTAAAAAAAATGTGTTCAGTTAGACATATATCAGGTTTTTAACCATAATAATCATAATTTAACTGCCAGAGACTAGCTTAGTTATTGACATCGATCCACCAGTGGCCAATTACGTATTGACCAGTGGCCAGGGGCATACTGTTGTTACTTAATCTACACATGGTCAATGCTATTAATTTATTCCCTGATTACATAAGTTATTACCTAAGCTCTATATGGTCAGTTTGCATAAAGGTCAGTGTATACTTATGTTGTGGAAAACAATCTAATCTACGACCATTCTCGTGTTTAAGTCGATATCAATAACTCATGTGATACTTAATCTTTGTTAGCTTGTGTATCTACTGTGTAAAACTACTTAATTGACAGTTTCATAACATTTGGGTATAAATTGACCTCTCTTGGTCTACAAGATGAGAAGAGCAGAGGCCAGACAGGAGAGAGGCCAGTTTCAACCGGCGGGACACCCACTCTCTCGGGTTTTTGTCTGAGCTAGAA